CTGGGATGAAGGATTACCAAGTTAGTTCAAATGAATGACCTTGACCAACTTTCAAAGGTCAAAGGGGTCAAATGTCATAAAATCTTCAAACGACTTCTTCTCAATAACCAAAAGGCCCAGGGTACTGATATTGGGCCTGTAGCATGCTGGGATGAAGGGCTACCAAGTTTGTTTAAATGAATGACATTGACCCACTTTCAAGGTCACTGGGGTCAGATGTCTTAAAATCTTCAAACAACTTCTTCTCAATAACCAAAAGGCCCAGGGTACTGATATTGGGCCTGTAGCATGCTGGGATGAAGGACTATCAAGTTTGTTCAACTGAATGACCTTGACCAACTTTCAAGGTCACAGGGGTCAAATGTCGTAAAATCTTCAAGCGACTTCTTTTCAATAAGCAAAAGGGCCAGGGTACTGAAATTGGGCCTGTAGCATGCTGGGATGAAGGATTACCATGTTAGTTCAAATGAATGACCTTGATCCACTTTCAACCTAATGTCCTTGTTCGACAATCAAGGTCAGAGGCGTCATATGTTTAAATCTTTTAATAGGTTCTTATGAAATCTTAAGATTACAAGTGTTAGATTAATAACAGGTGAGCGATGCAGGCCCATTGGGCCTCTTGTTGTATTTTCATTCACAGCTATTTTTTAAAACTTTTAGTTCCACAAAAATGCAGAGAATAAAACAAAATATCTAGCCTCTGTTAATCACTTTAAATATGCAAATATACCTGTAGTATACAATCCAAACTTTAAAGTTCGAAAAGATTTTAAGGACATGTTCATACATCATTGATATTCCTTATAAGACAATTCAGATAATTAGACAATTTGTCAGTAAGTTAGTGTCAATGCAAGGCAGATAAACGGGTCAATTTAGGCCATTAAATTGCATAAGACATTAGATGTCATATTTGTCTGGTGTCAGTAAAGTCAGTTCCACAGTATCATACCAAGTGTTGCATCCTTTTTCGATTTTCAGACGAATCTCCTCCTACCTGCCGTGTTTTTCTCAAAGAGAAAGGACTGGACCTGTTTATGGACACCCTAATGGTATGTCCTCTGAGTATCTCTACAGCTTAGGACAGAGAGCATAGAATCACTCTTCTTGTCATCTGTCTTTCAATGATTTAGTTAAAAAAAAAAAAATCGAAACTTGGTTTGGTTTGTTTGTGTTTTACGTCCTATTAACAGCTATGGTCATTTAAGGATGTGCCAGGTTTTGGTTTTCGAAACTTGAACAGCAAAATTTATTTAGGCAATAGACTGAATAAGTCTGTTTGATGAGCTACAGATATGGTGAGTTATTTTCTATGGTCAATCATTATGAAATGTTTTAGTTTTTCTGTTTTCTAGACATAATGTTATGTTATTGTAGCACGATATAGATATTTATTTGACATTCTTTGAATGATTGTAATATTTTTTTTAAATCATATTATTGTTTAATTCTTCTGTTACTCTTTTTTCCTACCTTAAGCAAAATCACCAGATAGTAGTTCCATAACTTTTACGTATTTTTATATTGTACAGACTGTGATCTATCTGACTTTGTTGTAGGTTGTAATGGATATGGAGAGAGATGTTAGGGTCCAAGTGGAGACAAAGATACTAGGACTTCTGGTAAGTGGAGACAAAGATACTAGGACTTCTGGTAAGTGGAGACAAAGATACTAGGACTTCTGGTAAGTGGAGACAAAGATACTAGGACTTCTGGTAAGTGGAGACAAGATACTACAACTTCTGGTAAGTGGAGACAAAGACATTAGGACTTCTGGTAAGTGGAGACAAAGATACTAGGACTTCTGGTTAGTGGAGACAAAGACACTAGGACTTCTGGTAAGTGGAGACAAGATACTACGACTTCTGGTAAGTGGAGACAAGATACTACGACTTCTGGTAAGTGGAGACAAAGATACTAGGACTTCTAGTAAGTGGAGACAAAGATACTAGGACTTCTGGTAAGTGGAGACAAAGATACTAGGACTTCTGGTAAGTGGAGACAAAGATACTAGGACTTCTGGTAAGTGGAGACAAAGACACGAGGACTTCTGGTAAGTGGAGACAAAGATACTAGGACTTCTGGTAAGTGAGACAAGATACAAGGACTTCTGGTAAGTGGAGACAAAGATACTAGGACTTCTGGTAAGTGGAGGCAAAGATACTAGGACTTCTGGTAAGTGAAGACAAAGATACTAGGACTTCTGGTGAGTGGAGACAAATATACTAGGACTTCTGGTAAGTGGAGACAAAGATACTAGGACTTCTGATAAGTGAATACAAAGATACGAGGACTTCTGGTGAGTGGAGACAAATATACTAGGACTTCTGGTAAGTGAATACAAAGATACTAGGACTTCTGGTAAGTGAAGACCAAGATACTAGGACTTCTGGTAAGTGGAGACAAAGACACTGGGACTTTGGTAAGTCAAACAAAGATACTAGGACTTCTGGTAAGTGAATACAAAGATACTAGGACTTCTGGTAAGTGAATACAAAGACACTGGGACTTTGGTAAGTCAAACATAGATACTAGGACTTCTGGTAAGTGAATACAAAGATACTAGGACTTCTGGTAAGTGAATGCAAAGATACTAGGACTTTGGTAAGTCAAACAAAGATACTAGGACTTCTGGTAAGTGAATACAAAGATATTAGGACTTCTGGTAAATGAATACAAAGACACTGGGACTTTGGTAAGTCAAACAAAGATACTAGGACTTCTGGTAAGTGAATACAAAGATACTAGGACTTCTGGTAAGTGAATACAAAGACACTGGGACTTTGGTAAGTCAAACATAGATACTAGGACTTCTGGTAAGTGAATACAAAGATACTAGGACTTCTGGTAAGTGAATGCAAAGATACTAGGACTTTGGTAAGTCAAACAAAGATACTAGGACTTCTGGTAAGTGAATACAAAGATATTAGGACTTCTGGTAAATGAATACAAAGACACTGGGACTTTGGTAAGTCAAACATAGATGCTAGGACTTTGGTAAGTGAAGACATAGATGCTAGGACTTTGGTAAGTGAAGACATAGATGCTAGGACTTTGGTAAGTGAAGACATAGATGCTAGGACTTTGGTAAGTGAAGACATAGATGCTAGGACTTTGGTAAGTGAAGACATAGATGCTAGGACTTTGGTAAGTGAAGACATAGATGCTAGGACTTTGGTAAGTGAAGACATAGATGCTAGGACTTTGGTAAGTGAAGACATAGATGCTAGGACTTTGGTAAGTGAAGACATAGATGCTAGGACTTTGGTAAGTGAAGACATAGATGCTAGGACTTTGGTAAGTGAAGACATAGATGCTAGGACTTTGGTAAGTGAAGACATAGATGCTAGGACTTTGGTAAGTGAAGACATAGATGCGAGGACTGACTTTGGTAATGTATATTGTACTGTAGAATACGGGTCTTGTAATGAAAATAGACACCTATACGTTGGGACTTTAGGGCATTTATACCACACATACACAAGGAATTTCATTAAGTGAACTGTAATTCTGGGATTCTGAGTGAATTGACACACAGCTATTGTTTAGTGGACACCGACATACTTGGACTTTTCGTTAAGACTTTCTTTTTACAACTTATGTATTTATGATATGATATTACAGTAATGGAATCTTTATTTGATTATAAATTCATATTTGTATTCAATTAATAACAGAATAATATTGCTGAAGTTCGAGAACTGAGAGGATTCCTGATGCGGACCGATTCCTTAATCTTGTTGAAGAAACTGATGCATGCAGAGCAGATTGACGTGAGTTACTTTGCCGCAGGAATCATTGCTAACTTGGCTAGCGATGGTGCAGAGGCCTGGCTCGTGTCCTCCACAGACCGCGAGGAGATCCTCGGAGAGCTGGTAAGAATGCTTGCTGACTGTCCTTTCATTGTTGAATACCTTAAACATCTTCACTCAAATTTCTAACAAAAACTTCATCTCTGATTTGAAATGGTTATTTGTTTCTTAATGTAGATATATTTATCAGTATCAACAGGATTTTTACTGTTTAATCATTTTTTAAGCCGCTCTTGGCAAGAGCCAAGCGGCTTATTAATTCTGTCCAGAGCACGAAATGACGGACCCACTTCCGTTCGGAGTGCGTGTGCATAATTCAGTATTGCATGCTTCCGCTATATAGTTTCGTTATCGTAAATAGAAAGTAGAATCTCTGACACTCACCTGTGGGTTACATAAAGTCTTCTGATACTCTTCTCCAAATAATAATCCATACTTTAAATAATTGCTGAAAACAAAATGTTTATCTCCGGTGCATTCCACGTTATGGTGGTGAAATTCGTGCACTAGGTTTGAGCGTTTTAGCAACTCGGATTGCGGTCTTGGGAGTGTTACGCGTGTGAAACACATATGATTCGAGAAAGCACATGTGAAGACTGTCAAGCATTGACGCTGTCTGTAGAAGGAAGAAGTAAATATATAAACTTATAAACCGTATGAGTGATGAAGTATAAACTCTATTTTGATGTTTGAAACGGTAACGTATATATGCCATATCGTGCTTAGGTTGATAACGGTAGACTAATGGCTCCGAGACGAGACGATATGTGAACTGTGTATGCTTATCAAACATTTTTGTAACACAGCATGCTATTTCTGGTGTATTTATTTATGAAAGTGTAACAATTTAAGAACATGACACAACTGCCGCTGCTGTTTGACAAGAATTCGCGCCGTGTCAAAATAGTATCCAATTGGGTGTAAGGGAAATAACTCTTACGTTGGTAAAGTCGCATTGGGAAATATAATTCAAATATATTCCAAGAACATTTGTGAGATTTTGTATATTCAATGACGGTAAATATAGTCGCTACAAATATTAATAATTTTCACTAATATGAATAAAAAATAAATAAAAATAAAAGGAGTACAATGTCTCTTTTCTCCATGCATGTTTTCCCACTACTGTTAATTATCCTTCATTTCACAAGCAAAAAATGCACCTATTCTTTATTATCCATTCACCGATTGCCATTCTGCACGTAAACGCTCATGTCACATCATTGGAGGATGCTAATTAATGAAAATTACAACAATGCGTCACACTTAAAGAGGGTGAAAAAAGAGGAGAGGGAGAAATGTTTTTAAGGCATCATTTAAGAGGTGATTGATTTTGAAAATCCTAAACGCAACATCATCAGATGACCTGATTTTCAATTAGCAGAATACAGAACACATATCTGAGTTATTATAGTAGATTTTTATGCTCAACGTGTCACTAAAGCAATTAAATTTAAAGTGGTGAGCGGCTGTAATGTCACACTGACATGATTCTAGTTTCTGTTCAGACTTGAAATAACCAGTCGGAGCAAGTAATCCAAAAGCTTGAAAAAAAAGTAGTGCATATTTTCTTGTAGTACATGGCAGTAATAGGACCATTTCATAAATAAATCTCAATCAGTCATGGTTCAATTCTTAACTAAATGACATGCTTTTAATACACAAACAGTTTTGAATACTACTAAACCTTGTTGGCAACATGTTAGTACAGTATGATAATCAGATAATGATATAGTATGTGAAGTGATGATAACTGTGTATGTGTATCTAGTACAATGGTAATCAGATAATGATATTCCACCCAGTCCAACTTTCATCCTGTCAAACTTTCACCCAGTCAAACTCTTCCCCAGTCAAACTTTCACCCAGTCAAACTTTCCCCAGTCAAACTGTCATCCGGTCAAACTGTCACCCAGTCAAACTTTCACCCTGTCAAACTTTCACCCGGTCAAACTTTCACCCGGTCAAACTGTCACCCAGTCAAACTTTCACCCAGTCAAACTTTCATCCGGTCAAACTGTCATCCGGTCAAACTTTCACCCAGTCAAACTGTCATCCGGTCAAACTGTCACCCAGTCAAACTTTCACCCTGTCAAACTTTCATCCGGTCAAATTGTCATCCGGTCAAACTTTCACCCGGTCAAACTGTCATCCGGTCAAACTGTCACCCAGTCAAACTTTCACCCAGTCAAACTTTCACCCTGTCAAACTTTCACCCAGTCAAACTTTCACCCAGTCAAACTGTCATCCGGTCAAACTTTCACCCAGTCAAACTTTCACCAAGTCAAATTTTTAACCCGGTCAAACTTTCACTCAGTCAAACTTTCACTCGGTCAATTTTGCACCCTGTCAAACTGTTACCCAGTCAAACCGTCACCTGGTCAAACTTTCACCAAGTCAAACTTTAACCCGGTCAAACTTTCAACCAGTCAAACTTTCACCTAGTCAAACTTTCACCCAGTCAAACTATCACCCAGCCAAACTGTCACCCTGTCAAACTGTCACCCTATCAAACCGGTCATCCGGTCAAACTTAAACCCGGTTTAACTTTCACCCAGTTAAACTGGTAACTTCTATATTGGCCCAGTGTTCATTTCGCCCTTCACTGGTAACTTCTATATTGGGCTAGTGTTCATTTCGCCCTTCGCTGGTAACTTCTATATTGGCCCAGTGTTCATTTCGCCCTTCACTGGTAACTTCTATATTGGCCCAGTGTTCATTTCGCCCTTCACTGGTAGCTTCTATATTGGCCCAGTGTTCATTTCACCCTTCGCTGGTAACTTCTATATTGGCCTAGTGTTCATTTCACCCTTCACTGGTAACTTCTATATTGGCCTAGCGTTCATTTCGCCCGTCACTTGTAATAGCTACATATGATAAGCTTTGTACTAATTTTTGATGTCATGTTAAATTGGCCTATATTGAGGAAGGTGACAAAGACGAAAGTTGAACTAAGGCGAAACTTTTCCAGTATACAGTAACTGTGTGTTAACTGAAAACTGAAAATAAAGCTGAAGACTAGTCTTTTTCTAAACATTTTCTTTGGGTTGGTTAGTATGGATTGCGAAAAGATTCATGTAGCGTAGCACAACCCAATAAGTGTTTATATGTTGACGTTTCGATGACTAGTACGGTATGTACTCTGTCACCTTCATCAGACAAGTTACCAGTGAAGCGTATGAACACAAAGGAGTACTATATGAACGAGTTGTCAATGCAAATCGATGTGGATTCAGCTTTGCTGTAAGCCTATGTACAATTAGTTGTTATATATGTACTGAAATGACTCGATCCAGCTACACTTTGTTTAATAAGGCTGAAGACAAAAGTTACAGGGGTAGAAAGTAATCATAAAACTGACTTTGGAGCTAGCTAGTTCGTAAGACAGCTTTTATATGTACATACTGCACTTAAAACACTCCACACCACATTTGTATTTGTTCATTTCAGGGAGAAGTTGTTTTAAAATGGGAGCAGCCTAAAGGTGAAATGGTAGCCTACAGGTAAGTGTCATGGTAGCCTACAGGTAACGTAAGTGTCAGTGGGCTGTATAGTGTCATCTTCAGTAGCATGTCAAGTTTATAAATCAAAATAATTCGAGGAAGTCTAGATTTAAGAATTTATTTACAAAGTGTTAAGCTAATGCTAAAAGATAAATGTACTGTTAAACGCAGACAAAGGTGCTGGTAATACAGGTCATCATTTTATTGGCCTTTTGGTTAATATTTAAAATAGATAAAGTATGTGAGGGCACATATACTTTCAGAAAAGCATTCACCATGAATCTACATATAATACCATGAATTTGATGTGACAGGTGTCTTATACAATATGTCAGGTCGACGTTAAGCTGTCTGACCAGTACCTCATCCCTTTACCTTCCTTTACAGGTCCTTCAAACCGTTCTTTCCACTATTGCGATGTTTCTCGGTGCCAACAGTACAGCTCTGGGCCGTCTGGGCTATACAGCATGTCTGTACGAAAAATGGTAAGGCTGCATTTCTGTTTGTATTCAGTGTAGAAGTTATGAGACCTCAAGACGAACTCTAAAAATGTAAAAATCTACCAATGTCTCAATTACACATCCAACTAAAGTTTATTAACCGTGAATATGTTTATTCACACGGCAGTTAAAGGCTTACAGTAAATACTTAAGTTTCATACTGTCTGATTTCATAAAAAAAGCCTGCTTTTCTGTCAAAAATCTCAAGATAGAGATTATGGTTTTTTAGCTCACCTGGCACGAAGTGCCAAGTGAGCTTATGCCGTGGCGCGCGTCCGGCGTCAAAATTTTACTTTAAACGACTTCTTCTTAATAACCGAAAGGCCTAGGGTGATGATATTTGGCCAGAAGCAAACTGGGATGAGGGGCTTCATAGTTTGTTAAAATTAATGACCTTCACCCAATTTCAAGGTCACAGGGGTCAAATATGTTAAAAACTTTAAACATCATCTTCTCGATAACCAAACAGCCCAGGGAGATGATATTTGGCCAGTTGCATGCTTGGGTGAAGGGCTACCAAGTTTGTTCAAATGAATGACCTTCAATTATATTCAAGGTCACAGGGGTCAATTGTCTTAAAAAAACTTTAAAACAACTTCTTCTGAATAACCAAAATGCCCAGGGTGATGATATTTGGCCAGTAGCATGCTGAGATGAAGTGCTACCAAGTTTGTTCAAATGAATTACCTTCACCCATATTCAAGGTCACATGGGTCAAATATGTTAAAAACTTTAAACAACTTCTCAATAACCAAAATGCCCAGGGTGATGATATTTAGTCAGTAGCATACTTGGATCAAGGGCTACCAAGTTTGTTTAAATGTATGACCTTGAATCATTTTCAAGGTCACAAGGAGCAAATATGTTCAAAATATTTAAAGAACTTCTTCTGAATAACCAAAATGCTCAGGATGTTGATATTTAGTCAGTAGCATGCTGGGATCAAGGACTACTATGTTTGTTAAAGTGAATGACTTTGACTTTTATTCAAGGTCACAGGGGTCAAATTTGTTTAAATCTTTAAACGACCTCTTCTGAATAACCATGGGTCCCAGGATGTTGATACTTTGCAATTTTTTAAAAAAAAATAACAGGCTCTTTTGAATGAATTTTAATCATAAATACTGATATTTTGCCTGTAGCTTTATTTTAGGTCACTTTTAAGGTTACAAGTGTGAGATTTATACCAGGTGAGCGATGCAGGCCCATTAGGCCTCTTGTTTAAAAATTGGTATTCTGCCATTAGAGTACTGAAGTATCATTTTCCAAATGTTATTGAAAAGTCAACACCAAAAAATATCTGTACACATGAAAACCTTCTTATGTTTACCGTTATTTCTTGATTCTTCTCTCCTTAATAGCCAGCCAGCCCCCTTTGAATTTTATTGACAAATTCGTATTTTACATTGTAGCGATAATTACCTTTTTGTAAGATGCAAAACCTACAAACCTCAGTGTGATCACCCACGGTGCCCCTACTCCTTTGTCTTACCCCCTTCCCCATCCCCCACACCTCTCAAAGGTACAATTTTTTACAATAAAAATATAACAATATTCAGTCTGAATCAAATCTTTTAATTATTATTAAGTCCTGTTTTTGTGATTGTTTTTCCAAAGATTTATCCAGGCATATTTGATTTTGTAGAAGGAAGAACAATAGCTTAGCTGTATTTATCTTGTTGAATTTAGTTTGATATATAATTCACGAGACATTTGACCTTGCTCCTTTCTTTGAGAATTAAGGATCCATGTACCATTGCCCAAACCGTTACTAAGAATTGGAATCTTTTTTATTAGCATTGCAATAGCATTGTATACCAGTACCGAGAAGAAATCCATACCTTGAAGACGTACAGGAAGTTAAGGGGAGGTTACTGAGTGTAGTTTCTAGAATCTGTTTTGCCTGCAGTGGGATAGGAATCCTTAACTGTAAATTATATATCTTGTGAATTAAAAGTACTTTACAGTGAAAATTCAATTTTTAAGTGGATGAAGGTATGAAAATATCAAATCTTTGACGACTTTGGTACAAGTTTTTTACAATTTATTTTGACAGGGGATCGCTACTGTTTGATGTTAGAAGAGGAGGGCGGGTCAGAAATTCTCCAGCAGCTGATTGAAAATCCAGAGACCAACAGCGATGTAGCAGCCATTTCAATAAACATAATAGAACTTAGCATAGAAAAACGAGGAAACCAATGATGGGACAGGCTTTTAAAACAGGAACTCTTTCTTTGTCCTTCACTCATCTTCATATGACATACAAGTTTAACATATATATTAGCAGAATACCTGAGCAAATCCCTTACAATTAGGAATCTTGTAGGATTGGTACCTAATTCTGTCTGTATGTAGTTTCTGTAAAATTGTAAATCCTGAAAATCATTCAATAATACAAGTCAAATATAAATAGACATCCAGCAGTGTGGCCTGTATAAAATTTATGGTTTCTAGAGAAGGGGCCAATGCCGAAGCAGGGATTGTTTACTAAACTATTCTTATCTCAAAAAGTGCAATTTAGTTTATAACTTATGTAGTTGATATGAACGTTAAGTAAGTATTAATTTTGACAACATTTTGGCCTGGTCCTACGTAAGCCCTAATAGAATCGCATACTACGACAAAGATTCCCCAAAATCTTAAAGTAAGAAATATTTGTTTCATTTATAGTTACAAAATATGCTTACCTGGTTTTTCAGTTAAATCTCACAGTATAGAATGATATTTGATTTTATATATAATGTACTGATGAACTGTGAGTTAAAATTTTACAAAATTCACTGGTCTGTGTAAAATAGTTAATTAACACAGGAAGCGACTTGGATTTTCTCCCATTATTCTGGATATAGACTCTAAGAAATGTGTGTTTTTTCCGGGTCATGTATAAAGGTGAATGAGAGCGGTGAACAGTTCCTCGTTTCAAATTGGCGGTGGATGTTTGGAACATTCCACCAATGTCTTGATTTACTTTCAGTTTGTTTAGAGCTACAGCGTTTCCAGTATAACAGAATGTTAATGTGATGTTGTTGATCGGCACACCAGCTTACTAGTCAGGCTTTTTGAAATTGTGCCAACAAATTGACTAATGTTTTCACAAGTAACGTGGCATCTGACAAAAGGCCTCGGTATATACCCAGTTGCTCTTTATTAAGTGTTTTTATTTTCTGATCCCATGTTACCTAGGAAAGCTGAGGGTTTCAGCTTGCATAACAAAATGTGTTGAAGGCTTGTTTATTAGGATATATGTGGCACACGTAACGTACCAGTATCTTACTAACACCTAAACCTTGATATGTTTCCAAGGATTTGGTACTTTGTTAAATTGGATGTTGCAAGTTTGTTAAGATGTTGTTACCAGTGCTACTGTTTTGTAATTGGAAATATTGTAAGCATTGTAAGCTTAATTGGAAATATTGTAAGCTTAATTGGAAATATTATAAGCTTTAACAATGTATAGGATTTTAAAAAACAAACAGATTTGACAATTTGATATACCCGGTACATACTTATAAAACATATAATATCATTCTGTCATGAACATTAAATAAAAAAAATAAAAAAAGGATGAAGCATGAAAAAACATTTGCTTTAATTTATAGTTATATTACTTTTGAAAGGAGAAATACAAAAATATGTGTGTTTCCAGTAACAGCTTGGGAGAGTAAGCAAGGATAGGCTCGCAAATATTTTCATTTTAAAAGTTCCTTGTTTGGCTTAAGAATTTTTTTTTAAGAAAACATTGTAAAGATATGGTCAAAATGTGATCTCCATGCATCCTTATATATAATTGAAATATTGTAACTTACAAAACAAATAAGTATATAAAGACATATCAGATGGATCCCACAATACCAATCCTTTTGATCAACATGAATGAAAAATTGTTCTGCTATGACTGATTTTGCTACAAAATGTGTATTTTATAGTGATTTATATATGAAATTGGGGTTCATTAAATCATCAAAATCCATGCTTGTGTAAACCATATCCATCCCAATAAGTGTCCTGGGTGCCTAGCAATGTGTGAAGATAATGAGGATTGTAACACCTTCCAAAAGTCAGAGAAAAAGAAAAAACATATAGATTCTATTTTTTCTTTTTCTTAACAAGAAAATCTGTAAATTATGGTCAAAAGAAGAAACAAACCTGCAGAAGTTTAGGGGACACTTACAAAAAAGATGGGGAGGGGGTGGTATTAGGTTTAATGTGTCTGGTTTTAGTCCTTTGGGAGGGGGTGGTATGAGGTTTAATGTGTCTGGTTTTAGTCCTTTTTGCAAAAGCACACTGTGCATGATAAGAATTTCTTTCGTTAATATATCATTGCTGAGGATATATCGCATTAAAACTGACATAAATACTTTCAGGGTAGTGTCATACATTTAGGGTAGGTAATGTAGGGTTATCAGAGACAGGGTTTTTTAAGGCCTAAGATTGATTGAACTAAAAATGTTATAAACAATTGCCATATGATAAATACCTCTGAGTGTTAACAGTTTTACTAATGTTTATATGTATCGATGTAAGACTGGTGTAAACGTGATCAGGGATTTTTGTTGATTTATTTCAGTTTTAGTTATCTGTGTTTTAGTTGTACATCTGTGTACAGTATTAACAATTGTGTTTTATCAGCTGTTGGTAAGTGTCTATAAACTCATAATCAATATGTAATATATTTGTAAGAAAAACTTTGAATGATATATATACCTGTCCCACAAATAAAAAGAAAATTTAAATCAAATGCAGTTTTATATATACATATGTATATGTACCTGTATTGGGTTGTTTTTTTCCCCAACTTGGAAATGAAGTTTTACTATGGCCTAGATGTTGATGTGTAGACATACCATCAGTGGAACAATGAGAAAGATTACAACAATGAACCATCAGTGGAACAATGAGAAAGATTACAACAATGAACCATCAGTGGAACAATGAGAAAGATTACAACAATGAACCATCAGTGGAACAATGAGAAAGATTACAACAATGAACCATCAGTGGAACAATGAGAAAGATTACAACAATGAACCATCAGTGGAACAATGAGAAAGATTACAACAATGAACCATCAGTGGAACAATGAGAAAGATTACAACAATGAACCATCAGTGGAACAATGAGAAAGATTACAACAATTAACAAAACAACAAACAAGGAGAAACACTGAACAAATAAGGAGCACAGATATACTGGGTACTTGTGTTGATCAAAGTTTCCTTTTTTCAGGGGAGGTAATTATAATATAAGGAGCACAGATATACTGGGTACTTGTGTTGATCCAAGTTCACTTTTTCAGGGGAGGTCATTATAATATAAGGAACACAGATATACTGGGTATTTGTGTTGATCAAAGTTCACTTTTTCAGGGGAGGTAATTATAATATAAGGAGCACAGATATACTGGGTACTTGTGTTGATCAAAGTTCACTTTATCAGGGGAGGTAATTATAATATAAGGAGAACAGATATACTGGGTACTTTTGTTGATCCAAGTTCACTTTTTCAGGGGAGGTAATTATAATATAAATAGACAACATACAAAGAGTTTTGATTAAATCATTAAGCGTAAAATTAAACTGGCAGTCTTCTTTTTTTAAATGAAGTTCTTGCAAAACATCTTGAGACTTTAATGTTTGTGCTTTGTCTTCAAATAGTTGCATCAATGCATTTAAGAGTTTTTAAAAGTTCTACAAAATGTCTTTGTTTGAAAAAAAATCATTTACTTTTCATTGAGCAATTCATGGTTTTAATTATGTCAGCTGTGATTATTATACAGTGAAAGTATGGGTTTGAGGGATATAGCAAGTTTCTTGTTCCGGAGACCACATATGATTGTTGGCAACCAGAAACTTGCTGGATTTCAAACTCCTATATTTAAATTGTTTCTTCATACTAATGCAAAATGCAAGTCATTGTTTATAAAGCAAATTCCAGCTTCAATTTCTGAAAACCTTTGAAAAGCCCTGTCTAAACGTTGGGGTAAAGTCAATCTCTGCCTACCTCTCATCATTAGGTTTGTCATTTCTGTGAGGAAGTTACAGAAATTGCCAAGGATATTAATTTGCATCTTTAAACTCTTGAGAGAGTGAGTCTGTACCCCCAGCAACTTCCAAGGGAGGTAGTCAGCAGAGGTGTTTTAGTTTTTGGACTAACACATGGTTGATATAGGACTAATGCCCTAGACAGTAAAGTCAAAAGTTGGGAAATCATAAAGTAAATTTAACTAATTACTTTAATATCACATGAATAAAATAAATATATCAATATTTGTTACATATACTATATATGACCTGATAAAGGATATTGAGATACATGATCAAATTCTATTCAGTTGCTGCCTTTAATAAGACGGCAAAATATATTGGTTTGTTATGTTGTTGTAATTAATAAGATATTATTGGCCAACATTTGTTATCAGTATAATAATCATATACCTTATATGTATTAGTCTGTGTAAATGTGTTAACATTTTTGGAATGTAAAGAATTGTTTGTCAAATGTAGATTATTATTATATACTAATGTTATTGCATGGTTGAAAGTTCTATCTTGTTTTGAGTAATTGTGTTGTTGTGTTAATGTTTTTAAAAAAAAAATCTATTTTGTCATCTGAAGTCCGTAACAACTATGTAGTATGTGTGGTTGATGTTTAAAGTCTTCATGACTTGTTGTCTTAACTAATCCATGTTTTGGTTTTGTAAAGCATTGTTTTTATGATTGATTGGCCAGTTTGATTAGGTAGAATGGCATATTTCTTCACCTCTTTGGTATAGTACAATAGCCGTTGAGGTCAAGGTTAGTGTTTCTTTAGAGGTCGTATTTTGACCTTGACATTTAAAAAGATATTAAACCCCAAAGTAGCACTGGTCATGGTTTGTGTTTCTTGTAAAAAGAGATTACTGTATTCACTGTTATTAGTGTTCAAAGTGCCAAAAGAATTTACAGAAAGTGGGGTGTTTATCGGGTATTAAGGTCATCAGTTATGTCGGTAAAGAGTTTAGTGTGAATAGGAGACCTTACTGTCATATCTGTCGACTACTGAATGTAGATTTTCTACCACTTTTTCAACCTGACTCCTGTCTGTTATATGAGTAAATATGAAACTTCATCTACAGGGCAATCAGGATGGGGTTCGGGGGCATATAAATCATGTCATTAAGTGCAGAAAATGGGGAGGAAGGCTAATTATAGCAAAGACGGTAGAAGGTACAAGATTAACATCCAGTTTAGCATTTGTCTTAAAGTCATAGATCATCATCAATGCTTGTTTGGGGTTAAAGGTGCAAAGGTCATTGCATTGTTGAGTGGAAGGTCAAGGTCAATGCTTTTTTCTGTGATCATGGGTAGGACTTTGTGTTCCAAAGACTGTTAATGGAATGTAGTTTACAATATGACATGTAATATTTGCCTCGCTAAAATTTCGTCTTCTGGTGTTTAGAAACAATTAACCCAGTGTTTAATTTACCCATGACTAGTAACTATGTATTCACTCATATGTATAATAGGTTTGTCCTGCTTAGAATTATTCTCTTATTCAGGAGAAAAATTAGGCCAGACGTTTCCACTTCACAGTGCTGTCTTTCTACTCGAGAGATTGCCTATACAAGGTACATTATTATGTTTAGTTTTTTATCTGGGTACTTAAAACATATCCAGGCCTCTTGTTATCTGGGTTAAATGTTTCATCAAGAGATTTGTCATACTGTAGAATGATAGTCCACTTGAATATCTTTGCACTTTTTTTGTGATAGTGTTTATGTATATCATTAAAGATGTGAAATATGTTCTAAATATCTTAGATAGCTTTCCTTTATAGAACTTTGTGAACCAATTAACTTTGGTAAAACAGATTATTGGAGTATATACTATTATATTGTAATAACATTTGTCAAAACTAAATATACCTCAACTGGTAAAATGATTGTCTTTCTTTTCTTCACTTTACAGTCAATTTGAAGGATCCCTATCCCATTGCTAACAAAACATTTGAGAATTTCTTGGTTTGTATTTTTGTTTACACAGTAACCTCCCCTTAATTTTATTTAGAATACACCTGTAGCACAACGAGGTCCGGGTACTTCTGTCCGCTTGGTAGCTCAGCTGGTTAGAGTGACAGATATGATTGGAGGTCCAGGGTTTGATTCCCGGATTGGCACTATTGTGTTTTTACGCTCAGAACAATGGTGTTAAAAGTACTTTTTACTGAATTTTGTTCCCATTAATTTCTATAAGATTTGGTTTTGTGTCGAAGCTGTAACCATGTTGGAAAGAAAACTCATAGTAAGTTTGGGGAAACAGCAATGTTTTATACATGTCTCAACTGAATGGTGGTACCTGGAGAGTATATGTTTCCCTCATTTTTGAGTCACAGGCTGTCTGATATAGCGCATGTTTTGTATAGAAGTATCAGCCTTAGTCTTCTAATGGCCCAAAGTTCCAGCTGTAGGTTGCTGACCATAAAGTTGTTATTCTTCCCTGGCTGTGATCGTAATAATCCTGTAAATCAGGCCGCTTTCCCAGGAACTTTGTTCAGCGGTTGGATTTGCCTGGTGATGCCTGGTTCCCAAGCTGAGGCTACATACTCAAGAGTGTCTTGTATATTTTTGAGCAGGCAGAGGACAGGTTTTCAATATCATAGGAAGCTGAGGGTCCGATTTGCTATCTATAAAATGGTTTCATAGGTCCCGATTGCATTAATCTTACAGTTTCTGGGTTGTGTCTATGAGGGGAATACTCTGCATTGATGATTTTATTCATCCACAATATCTGGATCATACCAAATTTCTTTGGGTGAACCCATGTCCCTGATGATCCAGCAATAACAGTCCCCCTGGAGTTTAGCAAGTCCTCCACTTTGAAAAACCAGCAGTCCTCCGCCAAACGCTGGCCTCGGGATCTGCCATCTCCTGGAGTTCGTTTATGAGAGAGAAAAGTGCAGGGAACCAGTAACTGAACCATGGGGTACTGCCGTTATAGGACAGCTGCTTTTGTAGAAGTTTGTTTTTCAGTTCCACCTGAATCTTGCATGATTCTTGGTAATAGAAACCATGCCGACTGTAAAATGGCATGATTAATCAACTTACAGATTACCTCTGTCTTAAATTCATGAGGAGTAATAATATAAATTTTACAATTCAGCTTATTAACGTGAATGTTTTGTATGCGAGGGTTTTTGATGACTGAAATACTCTGTCTTCTGCATATATCGTAGATTGTGATTACTGTTATCTTTCAGGAGATTTCTTGTTCATTAAATAGAAATTTGATGTTATTTAATATCGCCAATTAAAATATACGCAACAATGAACTCACAATCGAAAGTTTGTTTCCAATGTAAGGAAATGTGTATGGAAAACATCTACTTGACGTTATTTCTGAATTGAAATCAAGGAAATATGAATACCAGTTATGTACAGGTAATCATGTATTTATTTTTGGTTTATAGAAATACATTTACTGTATAGAAAGTGTACCTAACGCTTGTATTCATGTGCTATATCATTATCATGTATCAATTGAATGTCAGTCATTTTGTAGTCAAATATAATCATTAAGTTATTCTTCTGACAGAATCTCTCCAACACATACATGTTGAATACATGTTGGTTAATGAAATTCCATTTCAAAAGACACTCATTTTGTACTTTTCTGCATGATGTTAATTTCATTTCCGTCTTGTAAGGTAATGTTTGAGTCAAAGGTAGAGTTGCCTCCCTTCGTATATGTCTTCACTGGAGGCGTAAGTATAATGGGCCATAACAGAGAATAATGTGCATATCTAGCCATCTTCTTGGAAAACAAGGAAAATAAAGGTAACTGTTTAAGCATGAAACTTTCTTGATCTTGTATTTGTCCCGATACATGTATATGATTGCTTACATAGCATGACAACAACACAAGTATGCTACATGGATTAGCACTATGACGAAGCCCTGTCCCTGGGGACATAGTTTCTGGCCATGGTCAAGGAAATTATTGTGACACCACCCTATAACCAAATGCACATGTATATAACCGAGATGTCTACCAGATTTGTTGTGAAGCATCCTTGGAACCAGAGAGACAGGGCCCTAAATGAGGAAATACTTACAGATCTACTTTTAATGAGAATATTTCGCTATGCTAGTGTAAATGCATCCAGAAGATCAATACAGGCCCTCTAGGCCTCTTGTTATCAAATACAAAGTAATAAGATAGCAGTCATCTTTTAGAATCTTGTTTTATTACTTCATAAATCAATAACTTCAACTCCTGTTCAGTAGATGCAGAAACAAACTGATAGTCTTAACAGTACACAAACAGTGTTTCAACAACTCAAGAACACGAAACATAAAAATTGTCACCAAATATTTTCTTGTTGAAAAGAAATTGTGTCTGTTCAACAACTACTGAACCCAAATAAGTATTCTAAGCTATTCTTTTCAAATCCTCAAATTGTCTCAAACTGACATCTTATGTGTTTCTAGTACATTATATGTAATAAATTAAATCCATCTTTCACTTGTACATTATTTTTGTACATGTACTATATATAACCATTTAATCTGTCTCCACTTTGTTAGAATAAAGCTAACCTCCTTCTGGTATATCTGGAATATCTGAAAACAGTTATAAAATGGAAATTTGTGCTTGTAAAAATTTCTCAAAAATTCAAAAGCAAGAGAATTTCCACTCAATAAAGTTTATTGGAAGTGTTCCTAGAGTATATCTTAAAAACAAACCATGGAAAAGTTCACTTCACTGACGATCAAGTCTCTATTTTGTTTCCCTAAGGGAAATCATCTGATTTACATTAAGAAGGTTTCGGAAATTGAAATAAGTTATCCTTTTCAAAGCAATACACAAATTTATTGTATTCACTGTCCTTTAAATATCACTGCTTGCTTTGTATCACAGAACAACACTGGCCTGGGAGAATATTGGTTACAGGGATCAAATCCCTTCGATGAGATATTCCAGGTAGAAACCCCATACAATATGCACGTTAACAACTTTGTGAAAAGATACTCCTTAAAGGACCCATTTATAGTTTCTATAATGAAAATGGCACTGCATACAAAAGTCTGGAGGTTTCCATTTAGAAAGTTTGTGCATGGTCCAAATAGGAAATATAGAATCATTTTATGATCCTGTTCAATATAGATTATAAAGTTTATTAACCTTAGCCATGATACTAAAGAAACTAAAATCAGCTTCCCATTTTTTCTTCGACAAATGTTGTCCATACAACCTTGAATTTTATGTTGAATAAACACAAGTTTTCAGTTGATTTTTTTTTTAAAGTTTGCTGTAACCTTGAAATGTTTAGAGGGACATGTATGACAAGTAAATGGACTGGAGATGAGGATGTTGATCAGTGAACAGATTTGAGTAGTTCCTTGGCACTATCCTGCAGCTCTGGGCTGGTTTCTCCTGTAGCCGTAACTGTCAAACACTCCTTTAACTGCTGGTGGATTGCGTCCGACAATATTGATAGTTTACTGCTTTCTGTAAAGAAAAATAATGAATACTCTGAACTGTTCATACTGTTAACTCAGTTCATTTAAATTTCCACAGAATGAAAAGATGCTACTATATATAATAAGGTGAAACATAAAACTTATAAAAAGCAAAATTTAAACATACAACAACTTATTCTACAATGACATTACCTCATACTGTAGACAATCACCGTTATATTTGGGGGATATGCCAAAATGAAATATTTTCATACAGGGAATATATCAACAGTGCATTGATGTTTCGTAGTTACCTTTGAGCCTGTTGACTATAAGTCTGATGACATTCAGTGCTTCTGTTCGTATCACAGTGTATTTCAGATTTTCTGAAAAATAAACAATCGGGGAAAACCATATTTTATCGTGTTAGGTGTTAAAGGCCAGGAATAATATTTCTAATAATAGTACAGCCTGTCTTAGAATCCATCACTCTGTCTAAGGAAGGCTCAGTGAGACCAACTCTTCTGTTAATACAGTCGAACATATCAAACGAGACAACTACTAATATATCTGTCACTACAACAGACATATCACCCCTTTATCAATTCAATAAAGTATGTCTTCAGACACAGCTCCTCTTTCGATACAGAACAGCAATATCTTTTGAGACAACCCTTTCTGTCAAAATACAGAACATCAATATCTGTCAAAATACAGAACAGCAATNAATTATAATATAAGGAGCACAGATATACTGGGTACTTGTGTTGATCAAAGTTCACTTTATCAGGGGAGGTAATTATAATATAAGGAGAACAGATATACTGGGTACTTTTGTTGATCCAAGTTCACTTTTTCAGGGGAGGTAATTATAATATAAATAGACAACATACAAAGAGTTTTGATTAAATCATTAAGCGTAAAATTAAACTGGCAGTCTTCTTTTTTTAAATGAAGTTCTTGCAAAACATCTTGAGACTTTAATGTTTGTGCTTTGTCTTCAAATAGTTGCATCAATGCATTTAAGAGTTTTTAAAAGTTCTACAAAATGTCTTTGTTTGAAAAAAAATCATTTACTTTTCATTGAGCAATTCATGGTTTTAATTATGTCAGCTGTGATTATTATACAGTGAAAGTATGGGTTTGAGGGATATAGCAAGTTTCTTGTTCCGGAGACCACATATGATTGTTGGCAACCAGAAACTTGCTGGATTTCAAACTCCTATATTTAAATTGTTTCTTCATACTAATGCAAAATGCAAGTCATTGTTTATAAAGCAAATTCCAGCTTCAATTTCTGAAAACCTTTGAAAAGCCCTGTCTAAACGTTGGGGTAAAGTCAATCTCTGCCTACCTCTCATCATTAGGTTTGTCATTTCTGTGAGGAAGTTACAGAAATTGCCAAGGATATTAATTTGCATCTTTAAACTCTTGAGAGAGTGAGTCTGTACCCCCAGCAACTTCCAAGGGAGGTAGTCAGCAGAGGTGTTTTAGTTTTTGGACTAACACATGGTTGATATAGGACTAATGCCCTAGACAGTAAAGTCAAAAGTTGGGAAATCATAAAGTAAATTTAACTAATTACTTTAATATCACATGAATAAAATAAATATATCAATATTTGTTACATATACTATATATGACCTGATAAAGGATATTGAGATACATGATCAAATTCTATTCAGTTGCTGCCTTTAATAAGACGGCAAAATATATTGGTTTGTTATGTTGTTGTAATTAATAAGATATTATTGGCCAACATTTGTTATCAGTATAATAATCATATACCTTATATGTATTAGTCTGTGTAAATGTGTTAACATTTTTGGAATGTAAAGAATTGTTTGTCAAATGTAGATTATTATTATATACTAATGTTATTGCATGGTTGAAAGTTCTATCTTGTTTTGAGTAATTGTGTTGTTGTGTTAATGTTTTTAAAAAAAAAATCTATTTTGTCATCTGAAGTCCGTAACAACTATGTAGTATGTGTGGTTGATGTTTAAAGTCTTCATGACTTGTTGTCTTAACTAATCCATGTTTTGGTTTTGTAAAGCATTGTTTTTATGATTGATTGGCCAGTTTGATTAGGTAGAATGGCATATTTCTTCACCTCTTTGGTATAGTACAATAGCCGTTGAGGTCAAGGTTAGTGTTTCTTTAGAGGTCGTATTTTGACCTTGACATTTAAAAAGATATTAAACCCCAAAGTAGCACTGGTCATGGTTTGTGTTTCTTGTAAAAAGAGATTACTGTATTCACTGTTATTAGTGTTCAAAGTGCCAAAAGAATTTACAGAAAGTGGGGTGTTTATCGGGTATTAAGGTCATCAGTTATGTCGGTAAAGAGTTTAGTGTGAATAGGAGACCTTACTGTCATATCTGTCGACTACTGAATGTAGATTTTCTACCACTTTTTCAACCTGACTCCTGTCTGTTATATGAGTAAATATGAAACTTCATCTACAGGGCAATCAGGATGGGGTTCGGGGGCATATAAATCATGTCATTAAGTGCAGAAAATGGGGAGGAAGGCTAATTATAGCAAAGACGGTAGAAGGTACAAGATTAACATCCAGTTTAGCATTTGTCTTAAAGTCATAGATCATCATCAATGCTTGTTTGGGGTTAAAGGTGCAAAGGTCATTGCATTGTTGAGTGGAAGGTCAAGGTCAATGCTTTTTTCTGTGATCATGGGTAGGACTTTGTGTTCCAAAGACTGTTAATGGAATGTAGTTTACAATATGACATGTAATATTTGCCTCGCTAAAATTTCGTCTTCTGGTGTTTAGAAACAATTAACCCAGTGTTTAATTTACCCATGACTAGTAACTATGTATTCACTCATATGTATAATAGGTTTGTCCTGCTTAGAATTATTCTCTTATTCAGGAGAAAAATTAGGCCAGACGTTTCCACTTCACAGTGCTGTCTTTCTACTCGAGAGATTGCCTATACAAGGTACATTATTATGTTTAGTTTTTTATCTGGGTACTTAAAACATATCCAGGCCTCTTGTTATCTGGGTTAAATGTTTCATCAAGAGATTTGTCATACTGTAGAATGATAGTCCACTTGAATATCTTTGCACTTTTTTTGTGATAGTGTTTATGTATATCATTAAAGATGTGAAATATGTTCTAAATATCTTAGATAGCTTTCCTTTATAGAACTTTGTGAACCAATTAACTTTGGTAAAACAGATTATTGGAGTATATACTATTATATTGTAATAACATTTGTCAAAACTAAATATACCTCAACTGGTAAAATGATTGTCTTTCTTTTCTTCACTTTACAGTCAATTTGAAGGATCCCTATCCCATTGCTAACAAAACATTTGAGAATTTCTTGGTTTGTATTTTTGTTTACACAGTAACCTCCCCTTAATTTTATTTAGAATACACCTGTAGCACAACGAGGTCCGGGTACTTCTGTCCGCTTGGTAGCTCAGCTGGTTAGAGTGACAGATATGATTGGAGGTCCAGGGTTTGATTCCCGGATTGGCACTATTGTGTTTTTACGCTCAGAACAATGGTGTTAAAAGTACTTTTTACTGAATTTTGTTCCCATTAATTTCTATAAGATTTGGTTTTGTGTCGAAGCTGTAACCATGTTGGAAAGAAAACTCATAGTAAGTTTGGGGAAACAGCAATGTTTTATACATGTCTCAACTGAATGGTGGTACCTGGAGAGTATATGTTTCCCTCATTTTTGAGTCACAGGCTGTCTGATATAGCGCATGTTTTGTATAGAAGTATCAGCCTTAGTCTTCTAATGGCCCAAAGTTCCAGCTGTAGGTTGCTGACCATAAAGTTGTTATTCTTCCCTGGCTGTGATCGTAATAATCCTGTAAATCAGGCCGCTTTCCCAGGAACTTTGTTCAGCGGTTGGATTTGCCTGGTGATGCCTGGTTCCCAAGCTGAGGCTACATACTCAAGAGTGTCTTGTATATTTTTGAGCAGGCAGAGGACAGGTTTTCAATATCATAGGAAGCTGAGGGTCCGATTTGCTATCTATAAAATGGTTTCATAGGTCCCGATTGCATTAATCTTACAGTTTCTGGGTTGTGTCTATGAGGGGAATACTCTGCATTGATGATTTTATTCATCCACAATATCTGGATCATACCAAATTTCTTTGGGTGAACCCATGTCCCTGATGATCCAGCAATAACAGTCCCCCTGGAGTTTAGCAAGTCCTCCACTTTGAAAAACCAGCAGTCCTCCGCCAAACGCTGGCCTCGGGATCTGCCATCTCCTGGAGTTCGTTTATGAGAGAGAAAAGTGCAGGGAACCAGTAACTGAACCATGGGGTACTGCCGTTATAGGACAGCTGCTTTTGTAGAAGTTTGTTTTTCAGTTCCACCTGAATCTTGCATGATTCTTGGTAATAGAAACCATGCCGACTGTAAAATGGCATGATTAATCAACTTACAGATTACCTCTGTCTTAAATTCATGAGGAGTAATAATATAAATTTTACAATTCAGCTTATTAACGTGAATGTTTTGTATGCGAGGGTTTTTGATGACTGAAATACTCTGTCTTCTGCATATATCGTAGATTGTGATTACTGTTATCTTTCAGGAGATTTCTTGTTCATTAAATAGAAATTTGATGTTATTTAATATCGCCAATTAAAATATACGCAACAATGAACTCACAATCGAAAGTTTGTTTCCAATGTAAGGAAATGTGTATGGAAAACATCTACTTGACGTTATTTCTGAATTGAAATCAAGGAAATATGAATACCAGTTATGTACAGGTAATCATGTATTTATTTTTGGTTTATAGAAATACATTTACTGTATAGAAAGTGTACCTAACGCTTGTATTCATGTGCTATATCATTATCATGTATCAATTGAATGTCAGTCATTTTGTAGTCAAATATAATCATTAAGTTATTCTTCTGACAGAATCTCTCCAACACATACATGTTGAATACATGTTGGTTAATGAAATTCCATTTCAAAAGACACTCATTTTGTACTTTTCTGCATGATGTTAATTTCATTTCCGTCTTGTAAGGTAATGTTTGAGTCAAAGGTAGAGTTGCCTCCCTTCGTATATGTCTTCACTGGAGGCGTAAGTATAATGGGCCATAACAGAGAATAATGTGCATATCTAGCCATCTTCTTGGAAAACAAGGAAAATAAAGGTAACTGTTTAAGCATGAAACTTTCTTGATCTTGTATTTGTCCCGATACATGTATATGATTGCTTACATAGCATGACAACAACACAAGTATGCTACATGGATTAGCACTATGACGAAGCCCTGTCCCTGGGGACATAGTTTCTGGCCATGGTCAAGGAAATTATTGTGACACCACCCTATAACCAAATGCACATGTATATAACCGAGATGTCTACCAGATTTGTTGTGAAGCATCCTTGGAACCAGAGAGACAGGGCCCTAAATGAGGAAATACTTACAGATCTACTTTTAATGAGAATATTTCGCTATGCTAGTGTAAATGCATCCAGAAGATCAATACAGGCCCTCTAGGCCTCTTGTTATCAAATACAAAGTAATAAGATAGCAGTCATCTTTTAGAATCTTGTTTTATTACTTCATAAATCAATAACTTCAACTCCTGTTCAGTAGATGCAGAAACAAACTGATAGTCTTAACAGTACACAAACAGTGTTTCAACAACTCAAGAACACGAAACATAAAAATTGTCACCAAATATTTTCTTGTTGAAAAGAAATTGTGTCTGTTCAACAACTACTGAACCCAAATAAGTATTCTAAGCTATTCTTTTCAAATCCTCAAATTGTCTCAAACTGACATCTTATGTGTTTCTAGTACATTATATGTAATAAATTAAATCCATCTTTCACTTGTACATTATTTTTGTACATGTACTATATATAACCATTTAATCTGTCTCCACTTTGTTAGAATAAAGCTAACCTCCTTCTGGTATATCTGGAATATCTGAAAACAGTTATAAAATGGAAATTTGTGCTTGTAAAAATTTCTCAAAAATTCAAAAGCAAGAGAATTTCCACTCAATAAAGTTTATTGGAAGTGTTCCTAGAGTATATCTTAAAAACAAACCATGGAAAAGTTCACTTCACTGACGATCAAGTCTCTATTTTGTTTCCCTAAGGGAAATCATCTGATTTACATTAAGAAGGTTTCGGAAATTGAAATAAGTTATCCTTTTCAAAGCAATACACAAATTTATTGTATTCACTGTCCTTTAAATATCACTGCTTGCTTTGTATCACAGAACAACACTGGCCTGGGAGAATATTGGTTACAGGGATCAAATCCCTTCGATGAGATATTCCAGGTAGAAACCCCATACAATATGCACGTTAACAACTTTGTGAAAAGATACTCCTTAAAGGACCCATTTATAGTTTCTATAATGAAAATGGCACTGCATACAAAAGTCTGGAGGTTTCCATTTAGAAAGTTTGTGCATGGTCCAAATAGGAAATATAGAATCATTTTATGATCCTGTTCAATATAGATTATAAAGTTTATTAACCTTAGCCATGATACTAAAGAAACTAAAATCAGCTTCCCATTTTTTCTTCGACAAATGTTGTCCATACAACCTTGAATTTTATGTTGAATAAACACAAGTTTTCAGTTGATTTTTTTTTTAAAGTTTGCTGTAACCTTGAAATGTTTAGAGGGACATGTATGACAAGTAAATGGACTGGAGATGAGGATGTTGATCAGTGAACAGATTTGAGTAGTTCCTTGGCACTATCCTGCAGCTCTGGGCTGGTTTCTCCTGTAGCCGTAACTGTCAAACACTCCTTTAACTGCTGGTGGATTGCGTCCGACAATATTGATAGTTTACTGCTTTCTGTAAAGAAAAATAATGAATACTCTGAACTGTTCATACTGTTAACTCAGTTCATTTAAATTTCCACAGAATGAAAAGATGCTACTATATATAATAAGGTGAAACATAAAACTTATAAAAAGCAAAATTTAAACATACAACAACTTATTCTACAATGACATTACCTCATACTGTAGACAATCACCGTTATATTTGGGGGATATGCCAAAATGAAATATTTTCATACAGGGAATATATCAACAGTGCATTGATGTTTCGTAGTTACCTTTGAGCCTGTTGACTATAAGTCTGATGACATTCAGTGCTTCTGTTCGTATCACAGTGTATTTCAGATTTTCTGAAAAATAAACAATCGGGGAAAACCATATTTTATCGTGTTAGGTGTTAAAGGCCAGGAATAATATTTCTAATAATAGTACAGCCTGTCTTAGAATCCATCACTCTGTCTAAGGAAGGCTCAGTGAGACCAACTCTTCTGTTAATACAGTCGAACATATCAAACGAGACAACTACTAATATATCTGTCACTACAACAGACATATCACCCCTTTATCAATTCAATAAAGTATGTCTTCAGACACAGCTCCTCTTTCGATACAGAACAGCAATATCTTTTGAGACAACCCTTTCTGTCAAAATACAGAACATCAATATCTGTCAAAATACAGAACAGCAATATATCTTTTGAGACAACCCTTTCTGTCAAAATACAGAACAGCAATATCTTTGAGACAACTCCTGTCACTACAGTAGAATTGTGTTTAGAGACAATCCCTTTGTCAATACTTGTGGAATTGTAATTAACTGCTGACACAACAGACTGGATTGTTCTTCTCACTTTCAGTTTTCAATGCCCTACTCAAAAGATCCTATTTCTACAGCAATGGTATACAAACCAGCATATCAAGTGTATTAGAACAAAAAAATATAGATTTGGAATAAAAAAAAAAAATATGTGAATGTCGTCTTCATTGAAGCTGGACAATGAAATCTGCCAAATGCACATACTTTTATTTCATGCACAGTTAATTCTGAGACCTTACCTATCTGCCGTTAATTTTTCATTAATCTGCATTTCATTCAAAGAGTGTTACATTATGAAAAAAATAATAGTTTATGTAATACTTATCAAAAATTCCCATCAAGCACATTATAAACATTACAAACTGACTTACCCATACAAGGAATGACCACCTGGAGCGTTCCCTCCAACAGAGGTTTACACCGCTTAGGATCCTCTGATACAGACTTTGTACAGAAACAACAGTGTCTGGAGAACAAGAGACAGGTGGAGGATGAGTTACTAACTGTATTCTGTATTTTAATACAACAGCATAACTGTTAATTAAATTTATTTTATCGTTTAACAAATTTAAACATTTGCAACAGAGGCACAATGGTGCTTCAATATTTAACCCAAAATTACATTCAAAGTTAATTTGCTAAATTTTGAGATGGCTCAAAAATGTTCACTTCTGATACTCCATATGATATTGCTGTGGTCATTAATCAGGTAGCAACATTTTGGATTAACAAATGCATATGCACCTGTCCAGAAACTTGTAGGTGGTTCTCAATAAGCTGGTCTGGATCTTCCACGTGTTCCTGGGAAGGGACGAACATAACAGTTCATGGAATCTTTGTGAGTATTCATCTGAAATTGACAAAAATCATTGTGAGTGACTTGTAGTGTAATGATAGTCAGTAACAATTTCTCAATGCTGTGAGGTCAGATTCTCTATACAGTTGGTGATTATATATATCATTAACTTTTCTGTGTCTATCTCAATACATGTATTAATATAATATAATATAGAAACTATTTTGGCATTGGCCTATAAGTAGCATGAGCTTATAAACATGCGATCAACAGCAGCAGTGTCTGACTAGATATGATCTCATTCAGTTGTTCCGTGTGATATCACATGTATTATCATCTTTGGTCGATTTACTACCACAAAAAAGACAAGGTATAAATCTGTTTTTGGTAAAAATATAAATATTTGCAGGGGTATAAGTGTTTTCTTTTTCAAAAAAATATTTTACATATACATATACAGTATATACTTTCACTTGCTCCCAAAATTTTGCTTACCTGACTTTGTCAGTTCTAATAATTATGGAGAATATACTTGACTTAGAATTCTTTTAACCTAAGTGGAAATAAGATCGTGGACATCAATACTACTGCATCCTGCTGTTTATAATGGGTTTGAGCATTTAACAAGTTTACCATTTGGGTAGAGCTTCTCAACATCACAGTGGGGAACATGTCTATTAATGTGTAGACCTACCTTGAGTGGGTTGGGGAACGTGTCTATCAGTGTGTCGACCTACCTGGAGTGGGTTGGGGAAAGTGTCTATCAATGTGTCGACCTACCTTGAGTGGGTTGTGAGTAGGGCCAAGCTTGCCCTAGGACATCATAGTAACATAACAACTGGTTCTGTTTCTGTTCTGGTTTGATCTCGTCATCCTCACCCTCTTTGTCCTTCTGCAGAGACAGAATAACAACACTAAATAGCATAACATCTTGTGGGAGCATGTCTATTAATGTGTAGACCTACCTTGAGTGGGTTGGGCAACGTGTCTATCAGTGTGTCGACCTACCTGGAGCGGGTTGGGGAAAGTGTCTATCAATGTGTCGACCTACCTTGAGTGGGCTGTGGAAAGTGTCTATCAATGTGTCGACCTACATTGAGTGGGTTGGGGAACGTGTCTTCCAATGTGTCAACATACCTTGAGTTGGTTGGGGAACGTGTCTATTAATGTGTCGACCTTCCTTGAGTGGGTTGGGGAACGTGTCTATCAATGGGTCGCTCTACCTTGAGTGGGTTGGGGAACGTGTCTATCAGTGTGTCGACCTCCCTTGAGTGGGTTGGGGAACGTGTCTATCAGTGTGTCGACCTACCTGGAGTGGGTTGGGGAACGTGTCTATTAATGTGTCGACCTTCCTTGAGTGGGTTGGGGAACGTGTCTATCAATGTGTCGACCTACCATGAGTGGGTTGGGGAACGTGTCTATTAATGTGTCGACCTTCCTTGAGTGGGTTGGGGAACGTATCTATCAATGTGTCGACCTACCTTGAGTGGGCTGTGGAAAGTGTCTATCAATGTGTCGACCTACATTGAGTGGGTTGGGGAACGTGTCTTCCAATGTGTCAACATACCTTGAGTTGGTTGGGGAACGTGTCTATTAATGTGTCGTCCTACCTTGAGTGGGTTGTGGAACGTGTCTATCAATGTGTCGACCCACCTTGAGTGGGTTGGGGAACGTGTCTATCAGTGTGTCGACCTACCTGGAGCGGGTTGGGGAAAGTGTCTATCAATGTGTCGACCTTCCTTGAGTGGGTTGTGGAACGTGTCTATCAATGTGTCGACCCACCTTGAGTGGGTTGGGGAACGTGTCTATCAATGTGTCGACCTACCTTGAGTGTGTTGGGGAACGTGTCTATTAATGTGTCGACCTTCCTTGAGTGGGTTGGGGAACGTGTCTATCAATGTGTCGACCTACCTGGAGTGGGTTGGGGAAAGTGTCTATCAATGTGTCGATCTACCTTGAGTGGGTTGTGGAACGTGTCTATCAATGTGTCGACCTACCTGGAGTGGGTTGGGGAAAGTGTCTATCAATGTGTCGACCTACCTTGAGTGTGTTGGGGAACGTGTCTATTAATGTGTCGACCTTCCTTGAGTGGGTTGGGGAACGTATCTATCAATGTGTCGACCTACCTTGAGTGGGCTGTGGAAAGTGTCTATCAATGTGTCGACCTACATTGAGTGGGTTGGGGAACGTGTCTTCCAATGTGTCAACATGCCTTGAGTTGGTTGGGGAACGTGTCTATTAATGTGTCGTCCTACCTTGAGTGGGTTGTGGAACGTGTCTATTAATGTGTCAACCTACCTTGAGTGGGTTGGGGAACGTGTCTTTTAATGTGTCGACCTACCTTGAGTGGGTTGGGGGACGTGTCTATCAGTGTGTCGACCTCCCTTGAGTGGGTTGGGGAACGTGTCTATCAATGTTTCGACCTACCTTGAGTTGGTTGGGGAACGTGTCTATTAATGTGTCGACCTTCCTTGAGTGGGTTGGGGAACGTGTCTATCAGTGTGTCGACCTACCTTGAGTGGGTTGGGGAACGGGTCTATTAATGTGTCGACCTACCTTGAGTGGGTTGTGGAACGGGTCTATTAATGTGTCGACCTACCTTGAGTGGGTTGGGGAACGTGTCTACCAATGTGTCGACCTACCTTGAGTGGGTTGTGAGTAGGGCCAAGCTTGCCCTAGGACATCATAGTAACATAACAACTGGTTCTGTTTCTGTTCTGGTTTGATCTCGTCATCCTCACCCTCTTTGTCCTTCTGCAGAGACAGAATAACAACACTAAATAGCATAACATCTTGTCATCCTTAATAATAATAATAATTCCAGGTTCTTATATACCGCTTTATCACAACCTAGTTTGTAGGTCGTCTCAAAGCGGTTCACAAATTATTATTCATGGTTATAGGGCCTTTGCAACCAGCCAATATCTTTCTCAAATCCCTGGGGAGCATACAGCCGGTGATACCATTTCGGTGCTCAAAGCAAGCATTCTACAATTCTAGCACTGCCCAACCACGTACTCATTTACAGCCGAATAGACTGGAACAAGCGGAGTAAAGTATCTTGCTCAAAGATACAACACAGTGCCGTGCCGTGAGTCGAACCCAAAACCATTCGGACACGAGCCCGGCGTCCTACCACTAGACTACCATGCCTCCTACTCAACTTTTCAAACAAACAACATGCAGAAAGTATGGCAAGTATTGATATTCCTTTTCAAATGATAAAAAGATCCAGTAAGACTAATGAGTCAATAGAGAAATTATCTGACCTTGAGGAGGGTTGGTGATAAGATGTCCCACATGTCTTTGAAGTGGTCCAGTTTGTACTCCTCCAGTATACTACCCATACACTGTAGGGCCTCTAGCTTATAGGCCAGTCTTTCCTTCCTACACTCCTTCATCACAGCCTCTACAACCTTCAAGTACACATATACATTGTTTCTCAGATCGTTTTCATGCCACAACTTTTTACAACTTACAAATTGTATGATGACTACGATGGAACTCTATAATCTGGCAGATTTAACCCTTGCAAACATGCTAAATGCAAGCTGAGTTAACTGTTTTACAGGTAAAAATATTTCCCACTTTGATTGCCACATTTAATGTTATACCGATATTTCAAAGGTACAAAATGATATTTTTTCATACCTGCAAATCCATTATCTGACAAAGCAAATTCATCATAACTTAAAAAGAAATCTCAATGCCCACTTCTGGTTTATGAAAAACAACAAATACTGCGAATATAAAAGCTATAGTCTCCAATCTCATATATTTTAAGCTTTGCAACATTCAATCAAATGAATGCCTCTCTATGCATGGAAATCTCTGAACATCATTCCGGACCAAAGTACTCATTTGGTCTGTTACCTATTTAGTCTAAAATGAACTTTGACCTATAGTACTTTTAGCCACCTTATTTTGTTAAACCTTACCTGTGAAATAGAGGGCTGGCTTTCTGTGTTTGAATTCTCTATAGATTTTCTGTTGAAACAAAAACATTTGTTATGGTCATGAAAAGTTTTTTTGTTATGTTAATTTATTCTGTATATTTTTGTACAGAAAACAACCAGTTTAATTATCATTCCGGAGAAATACCTTACATCATACAAATTTATTGTGATTTGGGAATAAAATTTAAGGAGTAACATACATCAGGAACTATTGAAATACATTGAAAGTTAGTTTGAGTCTGTCGTTGACACCAGTTACCTGTATCAAATGATCTAGCTGAGGGGAGTGTCCAGTCCCACTCATGAAGTAGATGTTCAATCAATTAAGCTACATCAGTTAGGTCTCTATTCCATAATGAACCAGTAGTAAGAAACTTACCTGCATGAGGTACACACAGTTTTAACAGCTTGTAAGAGTGCCTCCTGGAACAGACAGAACACATCAGAAATGTGGTATTTTTGTATTACTCAGGCCATAAGGTCAAATAGTCAATTGACAAAGATGCTCAAACTATTGTAAGTTGTAACACTGTCGTCCCCCTCTGGTCTATTATAATGCATTAATCTAGTGCTGAATCAGCTCTCCTTTTGTTATAAAACTATCTAACAATGCCCTCTTGTCCAAAGGCAGAACACATAGTATCATTGGGTGAGAATTTTTACATTTTACAGTAAGCCCTTCAAGAAAGAAAGAAATAAAAAATGATTACCTCATATCTGAAACTTAATATAAAACTGGTCTTTTTATTCCCATACATATCTACATGTATTTATACTGCAGTATACTGGGATATTTTTGCAAAAATTTCTTATACTTTTTTTGCCCTCCATAATAATGGTGAATTTATCATGTATCATTTATTATTTGTCATGAATAACTAAATTCATGTGAAGGGTGAAATAAACATGAGGTGAATAATTGAATGGACAAGTTTACCAGTATACAGTATATGTAACATAAATTGAGACAAGGAATCATTCCATGTTTAGAGATACAATGTGAAAGTTGTTAAACCATGTAAGATCCCTAGTGATTTATCACACTTTGGTATTAAAGCTAGAAGAGCTAAAATGTCATGAGGGCCCAACCTCCCTTCGACATTATACATTCTCGTACCTTGCCTGTCCACGTCTTGCCTTGTAGACCAATCAGAAGAGCGGACAGCAGGTTGCCTAGGTGAGGTGGCCCTAGCTGGGCCTCTAATTTAGAAGCTACCGTTGCCATGGAGAGTGCTGCTTGAGCCTTAGTGATCCAGGACTGGGACTCAATGCTTTCTCTCAGCAGCTCTACAATTTCCTGGATGTATAGTCGTATTCCTGCCTCCGTACCTATCAGCATGGTATCAACAAATTAATTGTCATTCATTAGCTGTTTTTATTTTAATTCTACGTTTCTATCTTTTTTAATGATATGAGAATTATGTGAGTCACTTGCATCCTCCCCTTCATCTCTTTAACCATTGAAATAGTTGATGATTGATAGGTAACTGAGTGTATAATCTTGTTTGATTTATACATAGCTTGACAAAGGGACCAGTCGGTCTTGTATGTTGCGACACGTTTAATACGTACATTGTTTGGATAGAAAGTAAAACTTTGATATCACCTACTTCCAAACTGATGAATCTTATCTAAGATATCAACAAGATAGATTTTATCTAATTATTACTTCACTGTTTTCACTATAGTTGTAAATGACATGTTGGAAGCAAGATCTTCCCGCTATCCATTTTCCTATGTTATGTCCTAAGAGTCGATAACCACCCATACCTGGGGTGACCTCCAGCCACACTTCGTCCCAGATCGACAGACTGTCCTCCGGGCTCTTGGATTTTTCTTCCTCTGAAAACAAATTAACAACTTTGCAGGACACAGAAAATAAAAAAATACATCCAGGGTTTTTCTCAGGCTTAACGAAAATAAAACTCACATGGAGAAAAGACAGCTCACTTTTCTTTAGAAGTGGAGAAATCGAGGGGAGAGTGGTGTCGTAATATCTGTTTGTTTTTATTCCCATGTGTTCTCTGGTATTCTCTAAAGGTGGAAACTGTGTTTCAGTTAATTTTCTTGCTTTCAGCATCAGAATCTGATACAAATAAACATTTTATCTCTTAGAAATTTCTAGAGGTCCCAGTTATTTTGTGATATAGAAATGAATTTCATAGAAAGCACTTACCTGGTTTTTGTTCATGCATAGCAAAAAAGGCAAGAGGCATGGCCTGAGTGGCATGTCTCTTTAAGATGTCTGGGCTGTGCAGGCTCATGGAGTGTAGAGTTAACCCACATGCCAATCTAGCTGACTCCTCTGTCAAAAAAATTTCATATAAAACAGCTTTCATTCTCCTAGCATCTTTATTTGGTCAGACTTTGGCATAAAATACTGTATACGTGATTACAGAATAAAAGTCAAGAAGAGTTATCATCATAATATCCATCAGTCTAAACATACTTTTAATGCCAGGATAATAAAGGATTGTCTCAGGTTTTACATTAACCCATTTTTTCAGTATTAATCCCAAAATGTTGTCAAGTTCAGTATTTGAATCAAGTACCATTCCTCAACATCTGGGTAGATATTGAGTCTGCTGTGATGTCTTAATTAGTTTTTTGTTACATTGTCTTCACACTTAGTAACCTGTGTGGTATTGTCTTATCTTAGTGTGTGTTTGAAGGACATGCCAGGTTTGGTGGTGGAGGAAAGCATATAGGCTTCGAAACTGCGACTCAGTGGTGGAGGCTACAGTGAACAAGACAGTCAGACGCCTTAGTGTGTGATGTTGATAATCTTAGATATTATCTTAATAATATATAATCTGTGATATTCAAATAATGTTCCAAAATTGAAAATAATCACCCTTTCTGAAGTGCGCTAAAAAAATCATGCAAAATTGAAAATATTGTAAATTCTCATCAGGGGGAAAACTCAAAACAGTCTCATGATTTACAGATATTTGAAAAGAATCTACCGATATTTAAAACCGGTGCACTGATACGACTCAAGTTTCTGACTGTAGATGTAAAATCAGCTTTAATGAGGTCGGCTTACCTTCCTTTTCTAGGTACCACGACCGTAGCCTGGCAATGAGCTTCTCTACACTGCTGTCCTTAGCCACCTGTAAACGTAAAACCTTTATTTTGTAACCTCTGGATACTATAAATCATTACAATTTAAGTACATATTTATTTCCACTTTTATTAGTGAGGAGACACAATTTGAAATTCATTTATCCCATAACATCTATCCTTTAACTTATTTTTTATAAAGAAGTGATTGTTACTTAAACAAATCACAATATGTCAAATAATCCTGAATTAAAATCATCACAAAAATAGAACTAGGAACTTTTGTTTCTATGATGAAGCATTCTTACCTTGACTAGATATCCTAATGCTGATGCGTATGCTTTTTTCACAGATAAGTTACGATCATTTATACCCGTCAAAAAAGCTCCCATTAATTTCCCTGTAAAGGAAAAAGTATTTTAAACTGTTTAGGAATAATTCCAGGTTAATTACGGTTATCTTCCAACAAATGTTGGAAAAGCATCATTGCAGAAAAATTTCAGTAAATATAAACTGATTTTTTTCTGCAATGATGCTTCCAAATTCAAAGTATTTCAAACAGTATAAACGATACGGTCATTTTGTACCAGTAACTGTGAATTCCTTTGGTACATACATACTAAATATGTAATTCAGAATTTAAATAGGACTTTAAACTTTGTGATTAAAGATATTAATATTTCAAACAGGCTGTCAAAATTCTATATATTTGACCATCACAAAATTACCTGCATGTAGTGTAAGATCCTTCGGACAGTGATGGACGAGCGAGATCACAAAACTGGAACATCCGGCCTGGAACAAACATCACAACTGATTAGATGTAGGAATAAAAATGGCTCTATATTTTCCAGTTTAACAACACCAAAATGTCTCAACTTTTACATAATTGTCAAACTCCTACTGAAATCTTATTTTTCCAAATCATGTGTAATTGGTGTGTGAGACACCCATGTATCTTAAATGCATCACCTAGCTTACATCATGTTCCTGGCGGTACAAGTTAGACAACAAGATTAGACTATAAACCAGTCCTACCTTTGTACCGATACCTATTCCACTTTTAATGAGATCTGTAAGACGGGGAACTAACTCTGTCAGCACTTCTTCATCTACATACTGGACACACTGCAATACAAACATACAAATAACCACACGAATGTCAGCTCATCATGTACACAAACTAATCATTCATGAGTGACATGACATCAACTTATTTATATCATCCCGTTCTACAGAAGAGAAAGTCATCAACATTTAATGCAGGATCTCTGCACACTAATATTTTCAAAACTTTTATATAAACTAAATGAAATATATAACATCTCTTTGATCACTAATAAAAGTCATACCGTTATTGAATCAGTATAAACAAATTTTATATTTGATATAGCTTTCTTTGTAAATATATATATATATGTTCACTCTATTTTCAATAACATATTTTTTTCTGATGAAAAATTTACATACAAAATATTGCTTCAGCGGGCAATCTGAAGTATTCACTTTTTGTATATCCTATCTGTATACCAACCAAGTTAACTGTTTCCATCATCGGAGACATCTTAGATGCAGCTATTCTTGCACTGTCCAGCTGAAAGATAAACCATCTGTCAATCAATATCAGGTTTTCCCTTTCCCATGCATTTTTTTTAAATTTTTAGGCATTACTAAAATGTATTCAAACATATCTACAGCATAAAAACTGTATGATAATAAGAACTAATCTCATTGCATTTTGATGATCCAAATTTCCATCCCTGTAACTAAATATCAAATATTCAGAAAACTGCATTCCCTTAGCTTATTATCAAAAGTAAAATATAATGAAACCACCCAGTACAACAGTCTTCTAATAATTTTTTGACTCAATTTATATATGAGTAGGAACAAATGTCATACAAGACAATGATATGTTCTGATTTCCTACATAGACAGGCTAGAGGTATTTTTACAGTTCAAATACACACCCGATCTTGGGCGGCCTGGCTGTCAGACACACGGAGACTGTAGTAGTTTAGGACCTGAGGCTCCAGACCACTGACTGCCTCCAGTAAGGCTGTAACCAGGATAGGAATGTGTGGCTTCAACAGGGATCCTGCATTCTTACTGATCTTCAGTATGGTAGATAACCTAAAGAGATACATGTACTGTTTAAGTGTTGCTGTGACAAGGAGAGGAATGTGGGGATTCAAAAGAGAACCTGCATTATTACAGATCTTCAATATGGTAGGTAATTATATAACCTTCAGAAAACAAGTTCAACAAATTCATACATTACAATCACATACTGAACTCCCAGTCTGCAACTCAACTAGAGAAAAAACCTAGTTTCAACACCAGTTCAAACAGATTTAAATTTAAACATTTTCAATAGAATGAACTTCCCAATAGAATTACTTACCCTATAGCCCTGACATCAGACACAGAACTCTGAATACTGTTTTTCAGTAAACAAGGAAGTACAGCTTTCGTAGCCTGCTCCCCAATCTTCCCGTAGTTGATATCACATATCTTAATAGATGCCTGGGGAGTTAAAATAAATCAGTGAATGTCCATTATATCACAGAGGATCAGTTACACAGAGAAAGCTCAGTCAGTTCACTAGTACTCCTGATATATTTATATTGGAGCGCAATTTTTGTAGCAGGCAGAGATTTGTTTCAATATACCTGGTAATTCTGAAACCGTATTATCATATAAGAATTCCTAGAAAACAAATGTTCTGTTTATTAAAGTACTAAAGAACCAAGTTCATCAGGACATACGTTAAGTATAGAAAAGAGCAGACATTTTGGATCTGAAAAGTAAGTATTTGACAACACTGACATAGTTTCAAAACCGACAGTTTAAAAAAAACAATTATATAACAATTTGAAAACAGATTCATTGAGAATTTGACCAAATATATGATAACAATTATTGTTTTGTTTCTGTAATAGTGAGGGTTAATTCCCCGAGGAGTAATGAGAAATTGGTATATGTTAGTAGATACTCACACGGCTGAGCCCTCTACAAGCCACATCTGCAGCATTCCGAACAGACTCCTATGGAAAAATGAAAAGTGTTTAATGTACATGTCTGCAAAGATGGGAAAGGTTTTTTATCCTTTACGGAAAGAAATGACAAGGTGTTTATTAAAATCATGTATATATGGCAAAAGAACAATTTCAACAGCAAATGCTTGCATACCTCATAAAATTGCCACCTAAAAGCAGTTCAATACTAAAACAAGTTTAACTGGTGCAGCCATACCTTGATATCATCTCTGACCCGAAGGCAGGCCTCCCACAAGTCAGGTAGGAGGTCCACGATGTCGTCTAGGGGTCGTCCCCGTAACAGGTCACTCACAGCCAGACAACTGGACTCTCTAATTCTCCACTGATTATTGGTGAGATTCTTTACCAAGTCCGTCGCAATTTCCTTCATGTATTTATCTACCTTAATAAACACAAAGTGATGTCTGACATATATTATCACATTCTGTTTAAATCTAGATACGTTCACCACAATCGTTTATTCTAAGCTACTCATTAATTTTAATAGAAAGTCAGTTTAATTGTTGTCTTACATTGCCTCCAATTGTTAACCACGAGGGGCCAGGCAATGTATGAAGAGACTAAAACAGATATATAGGGGGGAAAATAGCATTTAAAAACTTTGAAAAGAAGTGAGGAGACAAATAAGTCAGACTTTGTTATGCCCCCGCTGTTTGTACTATTAATTCCAAATAACACACTATGATTACTTTTATGAAATTGGTATCTTTTAATTTTCAAAACAAAGAGAATTCACAAATTCAACACCATAATGGATGTTTCCAATATTAATCTAGTAACACAACATACTACATACAACTCTTTACAGCAGCTTTCTATTTACACTTTTCATGGTATACTTCGCTCTGCTGTCAGAAATTTTCGTTGTCAATGTGTATCGTATTGGTGTTTCATGATACCGCAAAGTTTGCAGGGCACAAATTACACTTTCTTTTGGCCTGTGCACAAAAAAAACGCCAATTCAATTATTTTACAGTTCCATACTGGAGAACAACATATTAAAGCTACACTTACTGTGTTCTTGTTATCCTGTACAACAGCCTGCCAGATGCTACTCATGGCCAGCTGTATCTTAGGGTTAGGGTCAAACTGGTAGCGGTAAAGTCGGGGTACAAGCTTGTGTAAGTATGGTGCCAACTGTTCCCCGGCCTGGGCAGCTATAGTGCCGAATCCAAACGCTGCTCCCTGTAAATGTGCACATTTATCAGAAAGTACTTTTCATGAAAGTATTTAGTACACTGGTATAATGTTCACAGTAAATCTTCAAACAAATAATTCATTTTGAATCTCAATGCATTAAATACATCATCAATTGAAAATATCATCAATTTTGTTTCCTAGTTATAAATTATGCTCACACAATTTTAAGCAAACATGAATTATTCAAAGCATGTGCAGTAACACATTATTAAAATATCCCTCATTTCATTTCATCTACTATCTGACTTACAGCCAAAATATTTTAATATCTTCTTTTAAAACAGCCAAAATATTTTAATATCCCCTTTTAAATCATTCTTAACTATTTTTTTCAATACCTGCCTTACATATCTGCAATCTCTTTATAACTCCAAAATTTGGCACATTTTTAATGTTGGCCATTGAACAACTTTTTACTTCAGGACTCCAGGGAGTAAATTTGGAATGTTTTGTTTTCAAACCTTAACAATTTTGTATGTTGATTTTCATGTTATAACTATTCTTTATATTGTTACATGTGTATAGTATTAGAAGAAGCAATGAGCCAGCTCACAATTCAAACCAGGGACATTTATTTATTATCTCTGGACGTACACCCTAACAACAAACCTTTTTGGAGTTCCACATAGCATTGTGATTCGCTAAGTGCATAAACTTGTAGATGAGGTCAGGTTGGTTGAGATCATTGGCCATTGAACATAGCTCTTTATATGTTGATAGACTTCCACTGCAGAAAAAAACCCAACATGTTATCCTAGGAATTGAGGTTATAGAATAAAGGTCAAAGGAAATGAAGCATACAGTATAGATAAATGGCCAGTATCCCTGTCAGTGTTTAAAACAGTAAGAACTACTTGATCAAATTAGGTGCCCATCTAGATTTTACAGGGTCACAATACATATCGAACTGGAAATGTTTTACACAAGAACTACAAGATTGCAGCATCTAAACATCTGAACTTTTATCTTGAAAGAACTGCAGAATCAGAATGCTTTCCCGTTGGAGTTTTATTTTATAATAACTGGAGGATGAGAGAACTTACCCGTCTGGAGTTTTGCCAATAGATCCCTGTTCAAAGATCTTGCTCTCTCCAGTTACTTCTTGCTTTGCCCTGAAAAATTACAAGTAGACAAACAAAATGAAATTAAAAAAAAAAAAAAGGAGAGAAAAACAGAAGTTACTTCTCATCAGCATTGAACTTCTACCTTCTAAATTTCCTTTATCAAGTAATTTTGTTTTTAGATACCGAAACCAATAATGTTTCAACAAAGATGTTCGGCTGCTATTTAGTGAATATCATTTCCAAGTAAAAATTCCTTTCTAGAGGACAAGGGGAAAGACTAGGCTGTGTGTAACTAATTACCTCTTTCCAGTCATGAGTGTGTCAACCAGCTCGGACACGAGCTCGTCTTTCTGTTTCGGGGAACACACCTCATACACCAGACCGAGGCCTTTAGAAGCAATGTCCTGGGTTACATCTGGATAGAAAACATCCTGAATTTACCAACATGATATCATATAGATAAACATTGATGTTTGGCTGCACATTGCAGAAGTTAATACTGACGAATAGGATTGGTTGCATCTGATTTTAAATTCCTTTCTCAAGTCTAATGATGCAAAACAAGTTTGTAAAACGAATGAAATATTAATTTTACATATCAACTATTTCTATAATTCAGAAAAAGTTTTGATGTGTTTAAGTTAATATCTGTCAAAGTACCATCATTTTCTGACAACATCTTCATAAATGCTCTCTGGATCTGGAGAAGATTTGATTGCAGTGCTTCGTGTGTATTGCAGCTCTTCACCAATGCCAGTAGCCATATACAGGCAGCCTAAAACACAAAACAACCAATGATATAATAAATAGTTAGATTCAAGCCCACTTGATTGACATTCTTGTTAATCATATTTCTTCAGTGATTTATCTTTTTCTTTAATGGTCATCTTTTTTTACCCCATTATTATCTTATTCACTGCTATATTCCTATTGCATCTCATTTATTTGTAACAACCATTTCTCAACACTCTTATCATTTACAATTAATGAGATTTCTGTAATGACATTTTGCAATACCTTTAACAAATAAAGTACCTGTCAAAGAACTACTAAACTACTGTTGCTAAATACTGGCAATTTGTGAGTTTTCTTTAAAAACATTTCTGCCATATAAAATCATTGGGAACATGATTTACTAATTAACTTACCAATTTTGACTGTTTAGGCATTATCATGTTGGATAATTTATATGAAATACCTAAATTTACACCAGAATTAACCGACTTGCCTGCCGCAGATGTGGGTTAACGTTGACTATGTACTTGTTGAGCAGAAGGTCCAAGTACCAAGCCACTTCATTGACACTCTTACTGGTCCGGCTCTAAGGACAAACAGAGATCATTAATCACTATCATTAGGATAAATCTTAAATGGGTTTCTGCTGATTTCTGTTGTTAAAGCATTATTGAAATGCAGTTCTTGTCGAAAATGTATTAAAAAGGAATAGATAGCATACAAACACTATATCACAATATATTCATAATTATCAATTAAATTGACATGGTCAGTCGGCATTCCCTTCCGTTCCTCATCTGGCATGTGCTAGCTTTTAAAGTGTTTTTTAAAATATTCATGTTTATAAGTGACGGTCATGCATGTTTCTATCACCATCAATGTTCTTCATATATAAGTTGGATCAGCAACATCCAGGTGCTTACTTAACTAATTTTCTTCCATTACTGTCACTTTTTATGTAGGAAGGTAATGATATAACAAGAGGCCCAAAGGGCCTGCATCGCTCACCTGGTATAAAACTCACACTTGTTTGAAGTTGTAACCTTAAAAGTGATCTAAAATAAAGCTACAGGCAAAATATCAGTATTTATGATTAAAATTCATTCAAAAGACCCTGTTAATTTTTTTAAAAACATTTCACCCCTGTGATTGAAAGTCGAACAAAGTCATTATGTTGAACACATTGTAGAGCCTTCCATCTCAGGATGAAACTTGCAAACTTAAACAAATTTGACCCCTGTGACCTTGAATATAAGTCAAAGTCATTCACTTTAACAAACATAGTAGTCCTTGATCCCAGCATATGCTACTGACTAAATACCAACATCCTGAGCCTTTTGGTTATTCAGAACAAGTTGTTGAAATATTTTGAATATATTTGCTCCTTGTGACCTTGAATATGATTCAAGGTCATTCATTTAAACAAACTTTGTAGCCCTTGATCCTAGTATGCTACTGACTAAATATCATCACCCAGGGCATTTTGGTTATTCAGAAGAAGTTGTTTAAAGGTTTTTAACATATTTGACCCCTGTGACCTTGAATATAGGTGAAGGTCATTCATTTGAACAATCTTGATAGCCCTTTACCCCAGCATGCTACTGGCCAAATATCATCACCCAGGGCATTTTGGTTATTCAGAAGAAGTTGTTTAAAATTTTTAACATATTTGACCCCTGTGACCTTGAATATGGGTGAAGGTCATTCATTTGAACAAACTTTGTAGCCCTTCATCTCAGCATGCTACTGGCAAAATACCATCACCTTGGGCATTTTGGTTATTCAGAAGAAAATGTTTAAAGTTTTTAACATATTTGACCCCTGTGACCTTGAAAATAGGTGAAGGTCATTAATTTTAAGAAACTTGGTAGCCCTTCATCTAAGTTTGCTTCTGGCCAAATATCGACACCCTAGGCCTTTCGGTTATTATAAATAAGTTGTTTAAGACGCCGGACGCCAGGCCACGGCATAAGCTAACTTGGCACTTCCTGCCAGGTGAGCTAAAAATTCACAAAAATAAATTTGCTCATCCACATAGACTTTAATATAGATCAATAGGGGAGATAACTTTGACCTGACATACTTACATTGAATTCCTCCTCGGTCTCTGTCCACACGTCCCTAGCTGCAGACGACGTGATACCCTGGGCACTGAACACCAAGGCATCCCCCATGGTCATGTTCAACTCTATCTGTTTGGCCTGTTGGGGTATAATCAATTTTCATGACAAAAATGAATCAAACATCAACTTCATATATTGTCTTCTTTTTCTTTATATTTGTAAACAACATTTTGCAGAAGCTGTCTAAAATCTTTGATGACGGGTAGAACTCAAAAATACAAATTTACAGCAAACTTAATTGTTTGATCTCTAACATTCTTTAATGGCAATATTAAGAATATGTTTTTCACCTGAGCAGCCTCCATCATCTCCTTGATCACTTTTCGACGATAGGGGAATTCCTCCTCGCCCACACATATGTAGCCCAGACACAGCGCTGCCTTCTCCTTTGTCTGACAATACAAATACATGTATGTCAGCAATGCACATCAGTACCAGGAATACATGAGTTACACATCAGGACCAGGAATACATGAGTTACACATCAGGACCAGGAATACATGAGTTACACATCAGGACCAGGAATACATGAGTTACACATCAGTACCAGGAATACAAGAGTTACACATCAGTACCAGGAATACAAGAGTTACACATCAGTACCAGGAATACAGGCGTTACACATCAGCACCAGGAATACAGGAGTTACACATCAGTACAAGGAATACATGAGTTACACATCAGTACCAGGAATACAGGAGTTACATATCAGTACCAGGAATACATGAGTTACACATCAGCACCAGGAATACAGGAGTTACACATCAGAACCAGGAATACAGGAGTTACACATCACTACCAGGAATACAGGAGTTACACATCAGAACCAGGAATACAGGAGTTACACATCAGTACCCGGAATACAGGAGTTACACATCAGTACGAGGAATACAGGAGTTACACATCAGTACCAGGAATTCAGGAGTTACACATCAGTACCAGGAATACACGTGTTACACATCAGCACCAGGAATACATGAGTTACACATCAGTACCAGGAATACAAGAGTTACACATCAGTACCAGGAATACACGTGTTACACATCAGCACCAGGAATACATGAGTTACACATCAGCACCAGGAATACAGGAGTTACACATCACTACCAGGAATACAGGAGTTACACATTAGTACCAGGAATACAGGAGTTACACATAAGTACCAGGAATACAGGAGTTACACATTAGTACCAGGAATACAGGAGTTACACATAAGTACCAGGAATACAGGAGTTACACATCACTACCAGGAATACAGGAGTTACACATAAGTACCAGGAATACAGGAGTTACACACCAGTACCAGGAATACATGAGTTACACATCAGAACCAGGAATACAGGAGTTACACATCAGAACCAGGAATACAGGAGTTACACATCACTACCAGGAATACAGGAGTTACACATTAGTACCAGGAATACAGGAGTTACACACCAGTACCAGGAATACATGAGTTACACATCAGTACCAGGAACACAGGAGTTACACATCAGTACCAGGAATTCAGGAGTTACACATCAGTACCAGGAATACACGTGTTACACATCAGCACCAGGAATACAGGAGTTACACATCAGCACCAGGAATACATGAGTTACACATCAGTACCAGGAATACAAGAGTTACACATCAGTACCAGGAATACACGTGTTACACATCAGCACCAGGAATACAGGAGTTACACATCAGTACAAGGAATACATGAGTTACACATCAGTACCAGGAATACATGAGTTACACATTAGCACTAAGTGTGGACTCCTTATTTGACAACCAATACAATATCATTTTAACTTACGTAAAAATTGTGAAAATATTCCTTCAGTGGTGAACTATCTAGTCACCTGTACTAATTTAATTAGAGGGAAATGTCCTTAGCTTAAGATTTATTTTTAGAGAAATACAGATTTTGAAGGAGGGCTTTGACAGGAGAGAGAAATGACCCACTGTTCCTCAATGTTTACCTTGTTGGTCTCCTTTCCTGATGTAACCATCTTTAAGAGAACTTTAATTAAAGAAAACTTGGTTGTGTTTTCCTCACTGTCTCCTTCCCCACCAGATGGCAGCAGCAGTGCTGAGTTCCTGCCAATCTCCCCAATGGCAAGACATATAGAGGGCAACATAGGATCAGGAACCTCGTCTGTGGGCTTCAGGAGTTTCACTATACAACAAAGATATAGCAGCATGTATTCGAAACAAAACAAAACACATTTCAATGATTTCACCTTCTTTGAGCCTGGTCCTTTAAATTTGTACAAAAGGTGCAGTATTAAGTTCAGAACAATTGTTTTTACATTTACATCATATTAAAGCCTTTATAACTTCTCATAAAGCGTACATAAGTTCAGAACAATTGTTTTTACATTTACATCATATTAAAGCCTTTATAACTTCTCATAAAGCGTACATAACTTTGATCATTTGTCATTCATCAATGTTAAGTGATTTTCTATATACTACAGGTTGTTAAGCCAATTTTTTAACATTTGATATTGAAATTTAAGATGTCCAAACATTTTTAGGTGAATCTGTTTCAACCAGACTTTCATTTTAATCTCAATGCTGCAAAAATCACAACACAAGCATTCCTGGTAGAAATTCAGATCTGGTTATAAACAGATCACTTCTCATGGACATAGTAATTATACCAGAACTTTCACAATTTAAGGAGAGGAATTATCCTTACGTTACAGAGATAATAGGATAAAGAGCTGAACTATGGTGCTCTCCTACTGACCTATAGCGTGTACAGCAGTCCCCATGGCAGTGGACAGCTTGGCATCCACGTTGCTATCCGTCTCCATACCGTTTGAATTTAATCTTAGGTAAAGACCTATTAGGTAACCCAAGGCGATGATTGATCCCTGTTGTACTTCAAAACTCTAGATGGTTTGGAAAAGACAAACATTTTGAATGAAGTACTGTAAAATCTTGTTATAATGCCATGATTTTTTAAGCAATTGTTTTGGCATTTTAAAGAGGTTTGGTGGTGTAAAGAGAAAACCATGGCCCCTTTCGTGTATCTGATTCAACCGTGTTAATGCAGGCCTTACAAGGCTTTGCCAAGCCATCCGCCATGAATTGGCCGGCCATTCACAACTTTCACACCTATGCTGCTAATTGACCAGGCTTGTAATTTAAGAGGCTGGCCTGCGGTTTTAGACCTCTCAGTGACCAAGGTCAGTGTGAATCCATGAAGTTATTGTTTATTCACTAAGATTGAATAAACTTTGTTTCTTTTCGTAAGACTGATTGCAGTTTTATCAGATTACTAGGTCCGACCTTATTTCAATGAACAGCTCTGGTCCAACCAGTTCAACCGTTTGGATTGCGATAAACAAATGCGGTCCATATAAATGAAATGTTAAAATATGGAGCCAAAAACTGAGGTGCCATAAAAAAGACAGGGTATTACTTCAGTTTTTTGGACATGAACACCACCAGGGAATATACATGTCAAACAAAACTTGGCCAACCCTGGCACTGGAGGAAAGGGTGGTGTTCGGACAGAACATGTGGAAATAGTCACCGCTGGAAGATGCGGATCAAGAGAAATGGCTGAATTTTAGCTAGCCCAATGTGACAGCTGTCAGTAACAGGACTTGTATTATGATGCTATTGTGTCTTTTCTTCTAATTTGTTACAATAAGGTATATAAGCCCTTGTGCGAGGGAAACATGAACACATTGTATTTACTGGTTAACACTACAGAGATGTTCTTATTACTTTCACACCATAGGACCATATCATTACCATTTTGTTGAAATGAATTTTCATTGGGTAATAAATGATTGTATAACTTATCATTCAATAACAGTTCTCACTTTGCTAGAAATTTTGTCAGATAATTCCATGACAACCTCGTGGATCTTTGACTTGTCTGGTTGGTTACAAAGGACAGTGGCGTGTAGCTGGCTGGCATATGTCTTCAGATCATCCTTACTGGAGAAAATGTAGCGCTGAAAAAACATTAACATGACATTATGCTCACTACAAATTTCTCATTTGTTTCAAATTAATTCTTATATATGGGAGGGCATGAAGTTGCAAATTATTAAAATATGCTATCACACATGACTTTAAATTAAGCTTTATGCACTAGTACTAGGGATCATGAGTTAAACATTACATCTATTATTTTCTTGAACTTAGTTAGGGTTCTCAATTTTTGTGATTGTGAACAAAATATTTGACTGATTTTCACATAATCTATCTATTTTATTCTGATCACCAAGTCTCATGAGGAAATCTGTAAACTTTCCTGTATTTTTTTTTTCTCTCAATTCACAAGTACATACTAACAGAAAGTAATCCAAACCTTATTTTACCCCTTCACTGTCAAAGTCATTATTATTTGTAGATGTAGTATGCAGCTGGTATACTAAACAAGTTTGTATGGAACGAGAGAAATCTGTCCCCAAAAACAGTGACTTGATAGTGAGACAACAGTATTTTGCTGCTGGACATTAACTTTCATTTGTTTGTTAGGTCTATATTATCACCCATTCCAAAATAATTTCCACACTAACAATTGTAGTAACTAGCTATATCTATAGTCAGGTCTGTATTATCACCCATTCCAAAATAATTTCCACACTAACAATTGTAGTAACTAGCTATATATATAGTCAGGTCTATATTATCACCCATTCCAAAATAATTTCCAAACTAACAATTGTAGTAATTAGCTATATATATAGTTAGGTCTATTGTATCACCCATTCCAAAATAATTTCCACAATAACAATTGTAGTAATTAGCTATATATATAGTCAGCTATATATATACCCAGTCTGAATAGTTCACATTAAATTCAACGTGTCATGCTTTAAGCAATTGCTGTGCTTTAAATATTATTGTTCATATTTTATTGTTGCCGTAAATGAAACAATTTGTATCTCCCGTATTTTTTATTGTTGGTAAGATCAAAAAGTTATGCATTTGTCTAAGTAATGTAACGTCACAATTTAGCTTGTATTGTTGTTGACGTCATTGATTTATGTGTATGCCTTCTGTGACGTCATAATGACTTTGCATTATTGATGACGTCATACTTTCTTGTGTAAACAACTATGACCTCACAATACCTGTTTTCAAAATAAACAGTCTCCTGATGAACGGGGAATCAACCCGAGAAAGGTCTAGAGACGCTACCTCTGTCTTTTGTTCTATTTTTATATTTAATTCCAACACAAGGACTTCACAATGTTTTCTTTATAGTCAGGTCTATATTATCACCCATTCCAAAATAATTTCCACACTAACAATTGTAGTAATTAGCTATATATATAGTCAGGTCTATATTATTACCCATTCCAAAATAATTTCCACACTAACAATCGTGGTAATCAGTACAAAGTGATTTGCTCTAGGAACCAACCTTTATCCAGTCCAAGTTCTTCATGAATTGTGAGGAGAGTTTTGTCGGTGCCATGGACACTAGTTCTAACAGACAGTACATGCTTGATGTTCCTGAAATACACCATGTCAAATTGTTTATATAGGATTTTATAAGTTTACATTAATCTACTTGGATGGAATTCATCGCACAAAAGAAATGAATAGCTTTCAATCTCTGTGAGAAAAACTGTGCTAAGGGCTATTCCAAAATGAATACTGTATACCAGAAAAATGTTTAACCTTTTCATCCTCCATAATCGATGAGTGCAAATTTATCATTAAATTAATTAATTGGCAAACAAAATAATAAGTATAGTAATTAAAGAAGGAGGGAGAGTTTTTTGGTAACAGGCATCACCCACATTTACTTTTATTTGCTTGGTGCCCACTATACTTATGTTAACAATTATTTTAGACTCTACTACCAAAACATGATCAGTAATAACTTTTTCCCATATAACTTCTCCATCAACATATTCATATCGGGAATAGATTTTACTCTTTTAATCCAGATGCTTTGGTTCCCTTGATCTGACAAACATCTAGAAAATAGATATTTATACATCACGAATACATTGTAGCCAAAACACCCATGTTTCTTCAAGATACTAGAAGCAGCAGAGCCATCACAAGAAGATAGTTATTTGGTTCCAAGAAGATCTCAACTATTTGAACCTAAAGGTTTGATTCTATTCCACGATAAATTAAATTACCAATAAAAAAAAAAGACATTCTGTTTGAGTCTCTGAAAGGAACCTTTACATGCAACAAGAAAGTTGATTGCTTATGAGCTCTAGTTCTATAGCTGCATCAAAGAGCCAGTACCCTTACCCCTGCAACCACATCTCAGAGTGAGTACCCCAAAAGTGAGCCTGCACCACAGCTAGTAGTGAGTGAATACTTTTACCCCTGTGACCACAGCTCAGAGTAGGTACCCTCACAGTGAGTTTGCACCCTTCCCCTTAACCTCCGTGACCTGCTAAGGGTAAGCGGAACCGTTATCCCTATCGCCACAACTCAAGAGTGTAAGAATAATTAACCAACTGTGACTACAGCTCAGAGAAATCAGAACCTTAACCCTTAATGACTACAGCTCTGTGAGTGTTTGCTCGTACCTCCAACGACAGTGAGTAGATGTTTAATGAAGTCAATGTATGTCTGTAGGGAGTCGGAGTCCAGCATCCCCAACAAGAATTTGGATACAGCCGGAGCTTGGTCCTGCATATCACTCAGGGACTCAATGTTGGGGACAACACCTGCCTCACAGGCCAGGCATGACCTCAGATACAGTACCATCTGGGGAGGACAACAGAGAGCGCAAATAGAAATTGGAGAACTTAAAATTGAGAATGTTCTTAAAGTTAATGAAGTTACGTTGAAGTGTCCAAGCACTCTGTGTCTCAAGCAAAGTAGAATTCTGATTTGTTCAGCATTTTATTGACTTACAGTTGCTTGCCCATTTACTATAAAAAAGAGTGATATACAATAAAAGATTAAACATAACTTCTTGTTTCACATGTACATGAATTAACATGGGTATAGATACCTGTTCATAGGCTATAGAGTTGAAGGCCATGACATGGTTCCCCGCCGTCACTTTGTGCTGCGTCATCACTCGTTGATCTGCCTGAAACATTAAGTAAAACAGTCAACTTCTGGTGTTTAAAATGGATATTCAAGCTCCTAAGTTCTTCGATAAGATTAATCAGTTTGGCAATATGTAATACATATCAAAATGTAATACATATAAAAGTTTTCCCCTTGTACACATACAATGTACGTATTAAACATGTCGCAACGATTCAATACCGACTGTCCCTTTGTCAAGAAATGACCGAGTGAGCAAATTGTTTTGTTTACCTGTACAACGATGTGACGAAATTGTATATTTTTTATGTCACTTGACCCTGGACGTTTCGCCTATCGATAGAGAGCGTATACACACTGTATCGAATAGGTTACTGGTAGGCTGTAGATATAGCTGCCTAAAGTTTTTCCAGTGAACAAAAAAAGAATTCTTTGTTACCAGCAAGCTCCATAAACATACCTTTTGTTTGATGTATGTCATGGCACTCTGGAATTTCGGCATCTTTAGTGGTTCCTTTTTAGCCGGGGACTTGAGTGGCATACTCTCTGCAGTAAGTTTAGATTTCAGCCCCTTCATGGCTTCTGTACGTATGTCTTCCTTACTAATGGGATATACAGAAAAAGACAACTACATCAAGAAACATGTGATGAGCCGTATTCAATGCATGGTGATATATATTTACATTTAATAATACTGCAAAAAATATGAGTCGTATGGCAGGATGTGGACTCAAAAATTAAGTATATGTGAACTTAGGTGAAGGTCAAACTAACCCGAGAATGTAGAATATAGAAATCAAGGGTAGGTGAGCATTGTTCATTTTGATCCATCAACAATCCACTGAAGAACACCTTTTCCAGATATTAAGGAGCTGGTTATGCTGTTATTTCCTGAAGACTGTTAATGTTCATTAACGACTTGTATGCATGCTGATAAAGAAATCCTATTTCAGCTTAGTGATGTGATGCATAATCAGCATACAGCAATTGGGATGCATATGCATGATTGACAGATTGACATGTGACAAATCTGAATGATCAACACGCAATACGATGTACATGCATGATGGACTAATCCAGATATTTTTCACACAATGGAAAAGACATACGTTCAGATGTCATATATTACATAGCTGCAAGACACATATCTCCTAATATTTTGCATCACAAATTGACTATCAAAAATGCAGCCAAGGAAGAGAGTATGTTGAACTCCCATGAATCTGCCAATACTTGACCTTAAGAGGAATAAGCCTACTGTAAGTACCCCACCTTAGTAGTGAAGTCTACATTGGACACCTACTTGTCACCACAGGCCAGTAACAGGACGTATCTGGACGGCATGTGGTCCGAGGGGAACACAGCCTTGGCGTACTGCACTGCCATCAGACGAGCCTGGGGCTGCTCCTGTAAGTACACCATTGCATTTTCACTACATTTCTGCTGCCAGATATCAACTTTTATAAACTCTCATTTTAACATATGACCAAAATATTTAATTATATCTACACAATATCATATTTCTATATCAAATTTGTTTATAACAAACCAATTTATTTTCGTGATGAAGTATATTACAACAGGTATTAAGCTTCAAAAAGTATGTTTTCTTAACTTACCTTTCATATCCAATTTGTCAACATCTATTTTTTAAGCCCACTTTGTTCATATTACCATAATATTAAAATAAACGAAGTTGGCATAAAAAAAAGATTAAATACATGATAAAGAGGAAAAATGTATTAACACAGTAAACGATTTATTTAACTGACTCCAGTTCAATCATACAAGCAGAACAGGAAAGTTTGTATTAACAGAATAGTTTATTAATGTAAGACAATGACAGAAAAGTACCGCTGGGTAAATAGAGGCTCTCCAAAGCTTGGTGGTCAGTCATCATTTTTCAAATTGTTTAAAATATAAGTGTTACTGTGTGTTTCTTACAATTTGAAATTTGACTATAAATGAGAGTTAAGTAAAAATGACAACCAGCCTTCACAAGTTCGAGTTTTTTTTCTCTGATAACATTTGTACTGTATCTGGAAAACCATACGTTTCACTTGGAAATACAGGATTCCTCTGAATGTGATATCATAGTTAAAAGACTGACCAGTGAAATCATGTCCAGGTTGTAATCCACATGAGGACAGTTTGAAATATTTATATAAACCCCTTCCATGTTTACCCAATGCTTCACTAGTACAGTGTCCCCAGTGTTACCTTGTCAATGCTTCACTAGCAAAGTGTCCCCAGTGTTACCTTGTCAATGCTTCACTAGTACAGTGTCCCCAGTGTTACTTTGTCAATGTTTCACTAGTACAGTGTCCCCAGTATTATCTTGTCAATGCTTCACTAGTAGTTACCTTGTCAATGCTTCACTTGTACAGTGTCCCCAGTATTATCGTGTCAATGCTTCACTAGTACAGGGACCCCAGAGTTACCTTGTCAATGCTTCACTTGTACAGTGTCCCCAGTGTTACCTTATCAATACTTCACTAGTACAGTGTCCCCAGTGTTACCTTGTCAATGCTCCACTAGTACAGTGTCCCCAGTATTACCTTGTCAATACTTCACTAGTACAGGGTCCCCAGTGTTACCTTGTCAATGTTTCACTAGTACAGTGTCCCCAGTGTTACCTTATCAATACTTCACTAGTACAGTGTCCCCAGTGTTCCCTTGTCAATGCTCCACTAGTACAGTGTCCCCAGTGTTACCTTGTCAATGATCCACTAGTACAGTGTCCCCAGTATTACCTTGTCAATGCTCCACTAGTACAGTGTCCCCAGTGTTACCTTGTCAATGTTTCACTAGTACAGTGTCCCAAGTGTTACCTTGTCAATGCTTCACTAGTACAGTGTCCACAGTGTTACCTTATCAATGCTTCACTAGTACAGTGTCCCCAGTGTTATCTTGTCAATGCTTCACTAGTACAGTGTCCCCAGTATTATCTTGTCAATGCTTCCCTAGTTCAGTGTCCCCAGTGTTACCTTGTCAATACTTCACTAGTACAGTGTCCCCAGTGTTACCTTGTCAATGTTCCACTAGTACAGTGTCCCCAGTGTTACCTTGTCAATACGTCACTAGTACAATGTCCCCTGCGTTACCTTGTCAATGCCTCACTAGTACAATGTCCCCAGTGTTTCCTTGTCAATGCTTCACTAGTAAAGTGTCCCCAGTGTTACCTTGTCAATACTTCACTAGTACAGTGTCCCCAGCGTTACCTTGTCAATGCTCCACTAGTACAGTGTCCCCAGTGTTACCTTGTCAATGCTGCACTAGTACAGTGTCCCCAGTGTTACCTTGTCAACACTTCACTAGTACAATCTCCCCAGTGTTACCTTGTCAATGCTTCACTAGTACAGTGTCCACAGTGTTACCTTATCAATGCTTCACTAGTACAGTGTCCCCAGTGTTATCTTGTCAATGCTTCACTAGTACAGTGTCCCCAGTGTTACTTTGTCAATGTTTCACTAGTACAGTGTCCCCAGTGTTACCTTGTCAATGATCCACTAGTACAGTGTCCCCAGTATTACCTTGTCGATACTTCACTAGTACAGGGTCCCCAGTGTTACCTTGTCAATGTTTCACTAGTACTGTGTCCCCAGTGTTACCTTGTCAATGCTTCACTTGTACAGTGGCCCCAGTGTTACCTTATCAATACTTCACTAGTAAAGTGTCCCCAGTGTTACCTTGTCAATACTTCACTAGTACAGTGTCCCCAGCGTTACCTTGTCAATGCTTCACTAGTACAATGTCCCCAGTGTTCCCTTGTCAATGCTTCACTAGTACAGTGTCCCCAGTGTTCCCTTGTCAATGCTTCACTAGTACAGTGTCCCCAGTATTACCTTGTCAATGCTTCACTAGTACAGTGTCCCCAGTGTTATCTTGTCAATGCTTCACTAGTACAGTGTCCCCAGTGTTACGTTGTCAATACTTCACTAGTACAGTGTCCCCAGTGTTACCTTGTCAATACGTCACTAGTACAATGTCCCCTGCGTTACCTTGTCAATGCTTCACTAGTACAATGTCCCCAGTGTTTCCTTGTCAATGCTTCACTAGTACAGTGTCCCCAGTGTTACCTTGTCAATGTTCTGCATTATGAGTGCCTCCATGAGTGTTGTGTTGGTACCACTGATGTCCTGGAAAGCCTCAGACATAAGAGACAAGGCTTCCTGTACTGAGATACGTGTGTCTGCCTCCTCCTACAATTAACATTACACTACATCATTATATATTATTAATTATCGTAAATATGTACCGAGAGACGTGTGTCTGCCTCCTCCTACAATTAACATTACACTACATCATTACTAGTACAGTGTCCCCAGTGTTACCTTGTCAATGTTCTGCATTATGAATGCCTCCATGCGGGTTGTGTTGGTACCACTGATGTCCTGGAAAGCCTCAGACATAAGAGACAAGGCTTCCTGTACTGAGATACGTGTGTCTGCCTCCTCCTACAATTAACATCACACTACATCATTATATATTATTAATTATCGTAAATATGTACCGAGAGACGTGTGTCTGCCTCCTCCTACAATTAACATTACACTACATCATTATATATAATTAATTATCGTAAATATGTACAGAGAGACGTGTGTCTGCCTCCTTCTACAATTAACATTACACTACATCATTATACATTATTAATTATCGTAAATATGTACCGAGAGACGTGTGTCTGCCTCCTTTTACAATTAACATTACACTAAATCGTTATAAAATGTTAATTTTTACTGTTAAATTTGAAAATTTAGAAATATTCACATTTCTCTTAACTGGTATATGTCTTAGATTCATATTTAAAGAGTTGTTCATTTGCTACTTGAATTTGTAAATGATGTTTATTGCAAATCAATGTGAAAGTAACTGACATTGTAAAATATTAGAAATCTACAGCAATTTTGTTAATAAATGTAATTTTTAAAAGGAAGGAAATGTATCAAAGAAGATTACTTACCTGACACATGGCATCAAAAAACTTCTGAACTATGCTGATGTCTTTACTGACAAGCTGCGGGAATCGCCTCACAATTTTGCCAGCTGCCACATATGCCAAACTTCGTAACTTGGCATCCTATTTGGTAAACAGAAAAACACAGGCCATTGTACAGCTTGGTTGACATAACCCGTTTCATGTATAAGCTGGATATAACCAATGAATACTTTAGTTGCATTAGCTTCTTCCTGATAAATAAACGTCAGTATTTGAACCAATGTGATAATTTATTGAAATTTGTTTCCTGATGTAAGAAACTGAGATTTAGCTTTCAGCGAGTCATATTATCCATCGGGAGAGCAACATGGGTTCATGAAAAAAGCCAGTAATATAGCACAATAAATCAGAGGAATCATACCTGGTATTTCACAACAGAATCCCAGAAAATTGAGGTCGTACCGTGGCGGCTTAATTTTTTAATTTGAGCCCTTCACTTAAACCTTATTTACTCTTAAATAATGGTGTCAAAATAAGTGTAAGGTTAGATACGGTAATTGTGAGGCTAGCACTGGATAAATGTGAGGTTTTGATTGAAATTACTGTGAGGCTTGTGCAACGTTAGAACGAGGTTAGATTGAAATTAATTTCAGACTCATGTCTGTTAACAGGCTATCCTGAACCACAAGAGTCTGTTTAATGGATAAACAGTAAAATCTGTATAATAAATAATCAAAACCTTATATTTAAAGACCACTTACCTCTGTAGCTTCTCCTACTAGCTTCACCATACCAGACAGCAGTACTGGAGCTATAGGTGTGAACTTGTTATCTGTACAGCTGTGAACAAAAATAGGTCACACACTTTTAATCCCTTACAAATTTGAGTCAATTATCCCTCACATTCAATGCAGGTAAAACTTGACAGAAATGAATTTACATAACTAAACTATGAATTTAATGCTGTCAATAGCTCTAAAGGTTATCGACCAGTGGTCATCCCTACAAGTGATCACCTATCATAATGTTGATATTTTTCAATTTTTCTTTTTACAATATGACACAATTTGCTATGTCCGATTCCAAGTAAATGCAGGAATGCTGATGCAGCAGCCATATAGTAAGAATTCAAAACTAGTTTAAATCGACTGTAGATGATAACTGGTAGAGAGTAATATTAATTAAAATCGACAGTAGATGATAACTGGTAGAGGGTGATACTAGTTTAAATCGGCAGTAGATGATAACTGGTAGGGGGTGATACTAGTTTAAATCGACAGTAGATGATAACTGGTAGAGGGTGATACTAATTCAAACCGACAGTAGATGATAACTGGTAGAGTGTGATACTAATTCAAATCAACAGTAGATGATAACTTGTAGAGGGTGATACTAGTTTAAATCGACAGTAGATGATAACTGGTAGAGGGTGATACTAATTTAAATCGATAGTAGATGATAACTGGTACAGGGTGATACTAGTTTAAATCGACAGTAGATGATAACTGGTAGAGGGTGATACTAATTCAAATCGACAGTAGATGATAACTGGTAGAGGGTGATACTAATTCAAATCGACAGTAGATGATAACTGGTAGAGGGTGATACTAGTTTAAATCGACAGTAGATGATAACTGGTAGAGGATGATACTAGTTTAAATCGACAATAGATGATAACTGGTAGAGGGTGATACTAATTCAAACCGACAGTAGATGATAACTGGTAGAGGGTGATACTAATTCAAATCGACAGTAGATGATAACTGGTAGAGCGTGATACTAGTTTAAATCGACAGTAGATGATAACTGGTAGAGGGTGATACCCAGTATGAAACCAGTAGACCTAATCACCAAGCAGGACTGGTACTAAACATTGATTCAATTACAACTTTAGTTGTCTTCAAAATTTTCTTAACGTTTCAATTAAAACAAAGTACAGAAGATTAGAAAGATCACAGATGAATATACCTTAAATGAAATGCAGCAAAAATATATGATTTAAAAGGTGATGCTGTCAAATGTTTACGATTGATTGGTGTCATTTTCAACTCACTGTAGACAGAGATGGTGTACAAATTGGGTTGCCATCAGCTTCAGCTTAGCATTGGTTGTCTGTCCATACAGACAGTCAAAAATCACCTAAAATTAAGCAAAAATAGCTTTTCTCAAGGTAAATTTCACCAAAAAAGATGATATCAAAAAACATGTGTCTTGATATCTTGGTTCCATCAAACAGCTCTTGATATATGGGGATTTTTTTCCACAGAGTTTTTAAGTCCAACACATTAGGCTGAGATGGACTCTAGCCAACATCCAATTCAAAATATGAAGATGTTTTAACTCCTATTTAATATACATTCTTTATGTTTCACAAACCTGTATGCAGGACGGAAATGTGTTGCAAGCTTCTCTGGATTTCAGGAAGTAAGGGAATATCTTGAGACGTATACGAGTACAAGCTGGTCTCCGTTTTAACTCGGGCTTCGTTTGTGTCTAGTGTAAGAAAAAAACAATTTGTTGATAATTTACTGACATCAGACAAGTAATTGATCATGGAAAGTTCATTTTTACACAACCAATAACATTTTCAATGTGATGTTTCGATGACTAGTACGATATGTACATGGTCACCTTCATTAGACAAATGACCAGTGAAGCTTATGTACACAAAGGTGTAAAATATGTACGAGTTGTCCACAAAATCGATGTCAATTTCGGCTACGTATAATAGTTGTTATATCTGTACCGAAATGACTCGATTCAGCCACGCTTTGTTTAATACATAGAATGCAAGCCTAGCTTATGGAAACGATATGTTGACGACATACTTGAGATAATCAAGAAGGGGTCACAGAAAGATTTGACCACACATATCAATACTATTGATGTCACTAACAACATCAAATTTATATGTGAGGGAGAAACCAACGGCACAATGCCCTTTCTGGACACTCTACTGGTAAAGAAAGAAGACAGAACCATGGAGGTTATTGGTCTATAGAAAAAAGACTCATACGGACCAATACCTGAACTTCAAATCTCACCATCCTTTGCACCAGAAGTTAGGCGTCATATGCACATTGCTCAACAGATGTGATACAATAGTCACAGAACAACAGGACAAAGCACAAGAGCAGAATCACATCGCTAGGGCAATGAGAACATGTGCATATCCGGAATGGGCCCTAAAATGGGTACAAAAACAGTGTCAAAGTAATTCTAAGGAGAGGAACAAGAAAAGGCCAATCAAGGACAAGAAGAAAACCAAAGGTCAAGTGATAATCCTGAATATAAAATGTATATCCGAAATCATCCAGAGGATATATCGCGGTCATGGCATAGCAACAGCCATGAAGCCCCACAAGACGCTTCACAATATCCTAGTACACCCTAAGGATAAAACACCTAAAGAAAACGTCGCAGAATGCGTATACAAAATTGGATGCAAAAACTGTGACGCGTCGTATATTGAAGAGACTGGAAGGCGTTTTGGGGTCCGCCTTGGTGAAAACTGGAAAGATACAGAAACCCAAAAAGGTAGGAAATTCACCAGATCAGAAAGGAAGCAGTCGGAGTCCCATATTAATAATCGGCAATCACAGACCACGCCACACAGAAACATCATGTGATTGACAGAGAGAGCAATCTGTTCAAGCGGCAGATAAAGGAATCCATCCCGATACGCCGCAGTGGGCCAGTTCTAAATCAATACAAGGGGGCTCAAAGACTCTCACACATCTATGACCAAGTATTAAACAAAGCGTAGCTGAATCGAGTCATTTCGGTGCAGATATAACAACTATTGTACATACGCTTACAGCGTAGCCTAAATTGACATCGATTTTGTGGACATCTCGTACACATTTTACACCTTTGTGTGCATACGCTTCACTGGTCATTTGTCTGGTGAAGGTGACAGTGTACATATCGTACTAGTCATCGAAACGTCACATTGAGAATTGTATTGGTTGTGTAAAAAAGAACTTTTCATAGTCCATACTTACCAACATGAAGAAAATGTTTAGAAACAAGTAATTGGTCGTTATTTACTCATACAACTATTTCTTGTAAATAGCAGAATATCTTAAGTCTAAATTTCTAAATTAACCTAATCGAAATGTCGGAAATTTGGTGAATTATCTTATGTCTAAAAAACATTTATCAATAATTCACCAGGTCCAACTCAAATTGGCCCTAAAGACTCAGAAAGCCTTTTTTCTTACTTTTTTCTGTCTATAGTGTAAAAAAATAAATACCTCACCTTTCCTTTGATGTCAGTTGTCCCTTGGAATACACTGAACAGCTTCTTTATAATGGCCTGGTTATTCCAGTCTACACTCCTGAAAAAGTAAAGTTTTCCTAACATGAACAGGTCGCCCGGATCAAAGTTTCCCTGTTAAGTTGAATACCCTCCCTGATATGCTAGTCCTAATGCTAAGAATCATTTACATGCAGCGTTGTGTGATACTTATTCAACAGTTCATACATTGGCATTAGGATCAAACGTTTGTGAGTTCTTGTCTTCAAATTATGAACCAAGTGATGGAAAACCCCTATTCAACACAGACGGGGTGAATCAATATTTATCTCCAATATTTAGACAGATTGATTGAAATATCAAAAGGGTAAGTTAATTGTGCACGGTTGATTTGTTTCATTGTTGTACTGTCTGAAATATGACATCCTATGCATTGTTTATGTGACATTATTTAACTGTTAATGTAGATTATAAACATTTTGCACACACATAGTTTTGCGAAATAATGTTTCCATAATTAGTCACAGGGAAAAAAAATCACATTTCATTCAATGTGTGTGTCTTACTGCATGCAAATAATATAATTGCTTGAAACAAACTGGAATATATGACAACTAACGGTGAGTTTCAGAAAAATAAATTTAATCTATGTATCTCTATTATTTCATGTTTTAAGACAGATTTATACAATATCTATCCTTTTCCCCTACATATAGGAAAGTATAAAGTATAATACTTTTTAATAACGTAATGTATTTGGTTTTTATTTTTACCTTTTTGTAAATTAAGCAAAAATGTTGCTTGGCTAAAACCATAAGTTTGTATTACCAGTATACAATTCATGTAGGTCCTGCACTACTTACCCTAATATCCTGTAGGTCCTGCACTACTTACCCTAATATACTGTAGGTCCTGCACTACTTACCCTAATATCCTATAGGCTCTGCACTACTTACCCTAACATCCTGTAGGTCCTGCACTACTTACCCTAATATACTGTAGGTCCTGCACTACTTACCCTAATATCCTGGAGGTCCTGCACTACTTACCCTAATATCCTGTAGTGCAACTGCTTGCCCTAATATCCTGTAGGTCCTGCACTACTTACACTGATATCCTGTAGGTCCTGCACTACTTACCCTGATACCCTGTAGGTCCTGCACTACTTACCCTAATATCCTGTAGTGCAACTACTTGCACTAATATCCTGTAGGTCCTGCACTACTTACCCTAATATGCTGTAGGTCCTGCACTACTTACCCTAATATCCTATAGGCTCTGCACTACTTACCCTAACATCCTGTAGGTCCTGCACTACTTACCCTAATATCCTATAGGCTCTGCACTACTTACCCTAATATCCTGAAGGTCCTGCACTACTTACCCTAATATCCTGTAGTGCAACTACTTGCACTAATATCCTGTAGGTCCTGCACTACTTACCCTAATATACTGTAGGTCCTGCACTACTTACCCTAATATCCTATAGGCTCTGCACTACTTACCCTAACATCCTGTAGGTCCTGCACTACTTACCCTAATATGCTGTAGGTCCTGCACTACTTACCCTAATATCCTGGAGGTCCTGCACTACTTACCCTAATATCCTGTAGGTCGTGCACTACTTACCCTAATATCCTGTAGGTCCTGCACTACTTACACTGATATCCTGTAGGTCCTGCACTACTTACCCTGATACCCTGTAGGTCCTGCACTACTTACCCTAATATCCTATAGGCTCTGCACTACTTACCCTAACATCCTGTAGGTCCTGCACTACTTACCCTAATATGCTGTAGGTCCTGCACTACTTACCCTAATATCCTATAGGCTCTGCACTACTTACCCTAACATCCTGTAGGTCCTGCACTACTTACCCTAATATACTGTAGGTCCTGCACTACTTACCCTAATATCCTGGAGGTCCTGCACTACTTACCCTAATATCCTGTAGTGCAACTGCTTGCCCTAATATCCTGTAGGTCCTGCACTACTTCCCCTGATATCCTGTAGGTCCTGCACTACTTACCCTAATATCCTGTAGTGCAACTACTTGCCCTAATATCCTGTAGGTCCTGCACTACTTACCCTAATATCCTGTAGGTCCTGTACTACTTACCCTAATATCCGTTTAAGTTCAAGGTCAGCAGCTGTTGCAACACTGAAACAGTCAGCACAATTAATTTCAATTTTTCTGAGTATGATTCCAAAAAGATTGTTTAACTTATTTTTTAAGCTTCCTTTATAACAAATATAGATTTTGAAATAATTAATAATTCATTGTTTGATGTATTATTGTGATCTACAACCCATTTTGTTCACTGTGCAATTGCGCAGTGAATACCTGTCTTCTCGTGAAGATTACTGACCAAGAGGAAAGTATGCTTGTGAAACTGACAGGTGATTTTTTTCTATCAATAACTCTAGCAGTGTATAACAATGAGCTTACTCTTCATACATCCATTTTGCTAAATGGGTCTATATAGCCATTTACATACTTTTGTAATTTTTACATTTTCCTATGCAAATAAAATGTACAATATATAAACACTGTTCATAACATATTGATCAGATTTGTTCCAATTAAGGAATTGTCTCAGAACTAATACGCCTACAGCACATTAATTTCGTCCATCTCCTTGGATTTGTTACAACCATGTTCTATTGTATAACATTAATGAATTTATTTTAAAAGTGTTCATTGATGTAAATGTTTGACAGAAGTAAATCTCATGTTTACTCACAGTTACCTCACAGAATATTCACAGATCACTAGAATGGTACACAACTGTTTACTTTCTATATTCCCCCATTACTATTACCACAATGAAACAGACTCCTACCTGTGTCGGGTACTATTACCACAATGAAAAAGACTCCTACCTGTGTCGGGTACTTTTACCACAATGAAACAGACTCCTACCTGTGTCGGGTACTATTACCACGATGAAACAGACTCCTACCTGTGTCGGGTGTCTGCAGCAGCTACAACATAGTGACAGATAACATCCTCCTCAGTTAAAATGCCTGCCCCTAAAAACTTGAGCACCCCTATCTTTGTCTTTTCCAATGATTCTGGTGTGAGGGCATTGTCTCCTGTTACTCTCTTGAAGGAGTACTCACTGAGGCCCGGAGGAGTAGGGGTGACAGGTGCTGGAGGTTGGGGTGTCGCGTTAGGCTGAGCAGATGAAGGCCTGCTCTGGAGGGCTGCCACGTGGGCACTACAAAGGAAAGTTAATCAACAGTTCATACAGGGTTCCTTTTTTTGAATTTTCAATATATTTGTCATTCATTTCTGTTATATGTATAATCAGGGATAGAGGATTTACCAAGAATTTAAGCACTGTTAACTTCACTCACATGCATTGGCTTAAAAAATGCAAAAACGGTATAAAACAGAAATAACTGTTTTACCAACAAAATAAATATCTTTAATTAATGAAGATTGCTGCTAAAATGCATATTCTACTATACCAGAATTATATCACCACTAACTTAAGCTATTATCAATGAAATATACGCTGTAAATATATTACCACTAAATAGATATTACTGCTGAAATTACATTAAACGTCTCCCTAACTTAGACAGAGACTCCAACATTTTCACCTTCAGTTCTGACTTTTGATATCTGCAGAATATCCTTCTTCTTGCTTTTTTCACCAATTGACTTAATTCAAGGCATAAAACGGCTCTAACATTTTGGTACGATTTTGTCAATTCATGGAAAAAGTAATAAAGTTTTAGACATTTTTAGATTTTCCATGCAGGTTCTCCCTCAGAGAAAGGTCGGCAAGTATGATTATATTGTTACTATAAAAGGGACAATTTAGTGAAGTAAGTTTTTTTATAACCTTGTCAAAAAACTCTTCATGATTATATAGTTTGATACTCCCTATACGAACAATTCATGTCGAGAAATTGACAAGAGACAATGTTTTTTAGGCATTTTTAATCAGTTATGAAGAAATCCTTAACTGTACAGCCGTACGTTTTAGCGGCAGCTGTCGGGATTTTCTAGCTAACAAAAATGTCTTTCCAGCCGAGGAGAGAAGGAAACTTCTCGTTTTATTCGCCTAGCCACTCTGAATACAAGGATATGCATCTATTCTGAATCAAAATCATCTTCCAACAGCATCTAAAACATCGTTATAAATGAGTGATCTGTTTTACGTTTAAACCTATTGATATCGTATCGTACTTTCTGTGTTTGAAATTCTCCCTGCAGCACCCTCTCAGTGCGTGGCATGCTCTAATTGAACCTGGTCATTTCTATTCAAATCCAAATGTGAACAGAAATATCTTATTAGAGGTATATATTATGATACTTATAATTCTTACCCGCGACGTATTGTATAAATTGAAGAATGTGTTATGTGTGAACTCAAGACTGTGTTGTCAGTCGACAGCGCAGTACTGTACATGTTTACAATGTACTTCTCACTGGAAGGCCCGGATATTGCGCTATTTCGGTCGTACATGTAGCTATTTTTATCACCGGCTTTCCCAAAAGATGAAATTGACCATACTGGCGTTGCCTTCAGGTCATGTTATTATCAATTACGTAATCATTTGTTAGGAGTTATATATTTTCAGTATCAACTTGATTTTCAGGTAATCAAAAACAATTACTTCACTTGATTGTCCCTTTAAAATATTAACTAAAATAATATTCATTGTTGCTATAACTTTACCACGTAAATCAGTTTGTGTTTATTGTATAAACAACCTACCTGTATGGAAGGAGGAGGAGATCCATCATGTAATCGAGTAGCAACCCTGATGTCTGGTGCTGATCTGTCAGGCCGTATACAATCTGACGCTGTTTGGCATCACTCGGGAACTTGATGTACTGCATGGCTGGTATCAAAAGCTGCAACAGACTACAAACAAAACCGTACAAGTTTACGTACATAGAACCACATAATGACAGCGCACACAAATCTATGCTTTCTCTTTTTAAAATTACTTAAAAAGCATTTTTATGAAAAGAAGAGGCGGGATTTATACAATTTAACATTAAAGAGAAGAAAAAAAAATCAAAAAAAATCTCATACTTGTCTCTCTGTGATTGTGGCTTGCCCTTCAGACAGTTTATCAGCAGTGGGACAAGAGTGGCTTGCTTCTCCTTGTCCAGGCGTGGAAACCCCATCTTGATGTAGATGATGGAAAAGTTCTGAAATGATAATATTTCATCCAACTTAACAAAATCAAAGTACATGAATCTTATCAATGGGATGTTACCATGGGGAGTCCACTATTTATTCAAAAGTCTCTTAGCAAAGGAACTTTCCTTTTAGAAATTGAAATTTTCTTTAAGTAATCCATTGTAATTAAAACCACATCAAGAGTGTTTGGAAACAGCATATCTTAAGCCAGTAATAGGTAAACTAACTTGTGGTTTATTTTGTACATCTCTTACTGTGATAATGGATGAAGCTGAAGGATCCTGGAACTGTGTGATGAGAGTATCCACTGGAAGCTGTACATTGGGACGACTTTTCAATCGCTTGTTGATGTGCACCAACAGCTCCATCACCTTCAGAAAGATTTCCCCAACATAAATCACCAGTCTTGATACAATTGTAGTACATTTGTATAATATTTTTTTTAATATCAGATGCTATATTTCATTTTTACTTTAACGTATACTGTTTATTACATACATATTTATACCAAATAATTAGATTATCAGGTATGCTCATAATGTTCAAATGTTTAATTTCTTTCCTATCAAATTCACTTGTAAACAAACTACAGTCCGAGCAACACCAAACCCTTCTGAATATTTGAGATTTTAAAATTAGTTATCTTAAATTATTTTAACCTCCCGTTGAGCTAATGAAAACTGCATTAAAAATATCTCTTCTTTCTATGACTTTTGAGACTTTTGAGTATTTTGAGCAATCAATGAACTTCTCGATTAACTTTGGTATCAAAAATGAACAAAAGCCATAACTGTTTACAATAGGGCAATTTCAATATGCAACACTACAGTTCCAAGAGTAACATACACACAGGCAATGGTAGCCAGGTGAAATATATATATGGGATATATAATATATATGCCCTGGACAAAGTGACAAATGGAAAGACTGAATGACGTTGGGAGACAAATAGTGTTAAGGAAAATGACGTTTTGGAATATTTTTAATAGAACAGTAAAGTCATGTATTCAGAAGTATTTTTAATTCTTATTTGATACAAATAAGTTCCTAGAGTTTCATGGGAAAGCTTCAGTGTTGAAAAACAGGAAATAATTATGACGACACTCTGAAAATCCTAATGGACAGATAAATTAAACAAGTCTTCTGATATTCACTTACCTTCTTTCTGACGGATTCATCCGAACTGTTCAGTTTCAATATTACAGGGGACAGGAATTTTCCAAGTGCTGTCTGGAATTGTTCATCCGTTTCTGCAGATCCAATACGGAGGAATACCCTCTCAATCAGGGCTACAAACGATAATGTCATCAAATGAATTGACTGTTTTCCATTCATGCTTTTTTGCATGGATATGTGTCTACTAAACAGGTTAAATAGACCTAAACTGATCCAAATAACTGATTATTCTCCTATTACTATTTTTCTTCTTTTGATTGGCGGCCAAATGAGAAAAAAAAAAGAGGAGAAAGTTATCAGGTTATTTTGGCCTAGCTCGAGGTTCCTCTGGCCCTAACACTAGACTTAGTCATTTTGACATATAGATGTCTGGTGGTGGGGCCATAAAAAGTCATAAAACATCAGAATAATTCAGACTACATTCACCCCCGACAAATTTATACTCTGGGTTGTTGGAGTTGTATGGGCAGGAGAAAAACTCTTTCTCTGAATATCCATGCATACGACAACTTCAGGGATCGAACCCGGGCCGTGTGGAAGGCCGGAATGTTAACCACTCGACCAGTCCGCCTTTATAATAACTCTTTCAAATCCAAGGTAAATTTAACATATGACATATTGTTTAGAACGACTTTAATAAAAATGGGCCGAAATTTCCCCTGACCCAATATGGAGACATATATTTTGAAATAAAATCCCACAGGCTGGCAGGGGTTAAGGGAGGGATGGGGGATGAGGTATTCTGGTTACCTGCCCCACCACCACCACCACGAATAAAATATAATGGTACATCCATTGAGTTATGCAACTAAAAGGACTGGATGTTCACTCTGCTGACAAAACACAAAATGTAACTGTTAATTATGAAGGAAAAAGTAATTTCATGTGTATGTAGTAGGTCTCGCCTATTTCATTAAAATTGTTACTCAAATAGGTAATTGTTCCCGAAATGCAGGATTATTACCCATATCATGATATGAGATGAGCTGTGGCTCATCCAAATTATCGACTTTTTTATATCGATCTAATCAGCGCCAGACCTTGATATAAAAACAAGCTTGCAGGATATATAGTAGGTTAACATTATTGAGGTAATAGGTTTAAACATGTGAGTATCGTGCTGTTGAGACATAATGTATAGCTTGAAACTTGAAGAATGAAATAAAAGCCCTATTCCTCATTGATTATCCCTAAATATGCACAAATCACATCGGTTGGCAAACTTATCGGAGTCGGATGTGCATACAGAATTTGGTTGAAACATCTGAACAATATCTAAAGCAATTATCACACGAAAACCAAAGATTGCCCGAGATGGGTGGAAAGACAGAGGAACACAAACATATTGTTATCAAGTTTGAAGGAATTTGGCTAATATTTGCTAGAGTTATTAAGCCGAAACTGCAGATAATTGTGTTTTTCGTTAATCAAGGGGCCACATCTGTGCCAAATGGAGTCCGTTTAAAGTGGTTGTTAAACTTGGCAGAGCCCTTAATGATTGAACCCTATTACTAAGTTTGAAGACAATAGGATATATTTGCGAGAGTGAATGAACAGAAACGGAAGATAATCATGTTTTTCGTTATTCAAGGGGCCATAACTCCGCCAAATGGGGTCCGCTGAACATGGTCATCTAACTTGGCCGAGCCCTTAAGCCATTTCACACTGACGAAGTCATTTTAAGTTCAAAGTGAATCGGTTAACATTTGAGGTAGTTATTGCACGGAAACGAAGCGGGACAATTAATGACGATTTTCATTATTCAAGGGGCCATAACTCCGCCAAATGGGGTCCGCTGAAAGTGGTCATCGAACTTGGCCGAGCCATTAAACGTCATTTAACCCTGTGACCAGGTTTGAAGAAATTCGGTCAACATATGTTGTAGTTATTGCACGGAAACGAAGCGTGACTGACTGACGGACAAACCCAAATCAATATCCCCCGTTTCCATGAAAGCATGGGATAAAAAGTCAATAAAACGTCAGGATAATTCGGACTAAGCTGTGGCCAACCTGATCGACACCATTTTTTTACCATGTTGAGTGTCGACAGTCTTGTTTGCAACCATACTGCACTACTCTTTCCACACCAAACATTTACAAACTTACCACTCTCATCTTGACCTGACATGATGATGAATATGTACAAACAACTGTCAGATTTGTCTTTTCCTATGGGCCGGTCGCAAAACTAAATTTTCATCGTCACCGCTAACCGGAAGTACATGTGTTTGTTTACGATAGGACTAATTTACGACAACCCGTTTAAGATATCTCAGATAAAATATAGTCATAAAGTATCGATATAAAGAATAATTATCCTAACAATTTAAAAAAAAATACAAAATCAGAATTTCAGTCAGAATAAATGTATATAAACATACAAGTAACGACATCCCCATAGAATATAAACTTCCGGTGGAAAATAGTCAGCTGACTTCAAAGGATCCGAAATACAAAGTGGGAGGATCGACTTGACAGGAATGCTGGATTCAGTGCTCGATCTTCCCGAGTTAAAAGTCATAGGAATTATGCAAAGTTAATATTCATTCTATAGAAATCAGGAATAATTCATGCATTTGAAAATGAAATAAACAAAGTTAATTTGAGAGATGTGATATGTCGGAAAACCAGGATCAAAGGAAGAGGGAAGAAATTGAAAAATCTTCTAATAACTCGGATAGTGACGAGGAACAGCAACGTAGACCACTACTTCCGCACAGTAATGGTAACTGTTTTTCCCTTCAGTTTTTCTTAGGTCTAACATGAATAAAACATATAATGATTATCTCCCTTAAATTGAAAATGTTACAGCATAATTATGCATCATTTTTAGTCTAGATACGTATGATATTGCTATCAACTTAAGTTCAAATGGCATCAAAAGATGGTAACGGGTTGTTTCGCCCCAAATCCCGTTCGCCCTAATGGTTGTTTCGCCCCAGGTTGTTTCGCCCTAAAATATATTTTTTTCTTTAAATCATAAATATCATGTTAAAAGTTAAAAAATACTTATCTTTCTCTTGAATCCAGATATAATATACGTATAATTAGGTGCTGGAAGAACCGAAGCCGACAACGGACATACTAATATCCGGAATATACTGCATTTTACAACCAGTAATGTTGTTCTTTATAAAATGCACCTGTACATGTTTTAACATTATGGATATATAACGAAACTAAATTAATTTCTCTAAGTACATAGATACGTATAATATATAGATAAGATATGGACATATAATGAAACTAAATTAATTTCTCTAAGTACATAGATACGTATAACATATAGATAAGATATGGACATATAAAGAAACTAAATTAATTAATAAGCATATTAATTTTTATTGGTCGGTACTATCAAAACTTCGCAAAATGATCTCCTCCAATTAGCAAAAAACAACACAGACGTGCGTCGAAATCAAGTAAAGAAAAACATCGTCACACGGCGACAATTATGTGTACACTAGACTAAATTTTTGTATACCCCATTTTTGTTTCATTTCACTATTCTTATTTATCTCTAAAATTAAATTCAATATATGTTATAATGTGTGTCGGCGTGAAGAAAATAACGTAATCCGTTTTTTGCTTTACAATGTACTTAAAAACAACACAAACACATATTTTTTTTAATAAAACTGATTGTAATGATATGAAAGATTAAGAAGACTTGATTTGTGACTTAAAACAAATAAAAATGAAAAGAAAATACCAAACAATGTTTCGCCCTAAAAAAAATGTTTTAGGGCGAAACAACCTAGGGCGAACGGGATTTGGGGCGAAACAACCCAGAACCTCAAAAGATGGCATGTCAAATTGGCAGGGACTATTGACTATATGTTGTAAAAGCTTAAGTCTCATGAATATATTCTAAACTATAAAAAAGAGTTGTCTTTTCTTTTGATTTCATCGGACACATAAATGTGATATAATAGGCCTCTGATCCTGATTTCATTAGTTTTCACACACAGCTTTTGATTTCAGAACTAAAAATTATGGCAGAGAACAACGAACAACCAGATAACAAAGAAAATGATGAGGGAACAGCAGAAGAACACAGTCGTCCTGAGCTACGACGAGTCTCCTCATATTATACACCCTATCTAGAGGACAGGCTGCGGAGGAAACTCAAGTTTTATTTCATGGGACCACATGAAAAATTTAAAGCAAAGAAGAAATGTCCATGGAAGATGTTGCTACAGATCTTGAAAATCATCATTGTCACAATACAGGTATTTGTTGAATTAATGATGTTGCTGTATGTATGTCTTGCATCTTTATGCAGATAAAATCACTTACACCATACAATCCCTTCTTTCATACATCGGTCAAGTCATGTTCAGTATATAGGAATGGTCAAGTATTTATACAAGCAATTCTTTGGTCAAGCAGTGGCCAATGCAAGTCTGTACAAGCTTTGGTAAAGATTTTATGCCCTGCCACAAAGTGGTGAAGGGTATGCATGTATTAAACAGTATAGTATTACCCTTAAGCTTGTCCGTATTCTGTCTGGTTAAGTTAAGTTCAGGCAACTTCACATGCTAATGTCCTCTATCTGTACAGCAAGTTGCCTGACTTTTTTAATTAATTTGTAACCTTGATCTTCGACCTTTGCCTCTGTGACCTTATTTTATTTGCTAAGTGTGGAAGAAGAGCATTCAGTGATATTTCTAGTTGTGAAAATGTTATTCAAGTTCTACTAGTAGTAAATGTGATTTTAAAATATGTGCATGAAAGTGAGGAAAAATTCATAGTGTATTTAAAATTAAGTGTTTGAGAAATAAATATATACCAATATACATATACATGTCCCTCCTTTTGTAATGTTTTTTCTTAACATTCATTTGCAGTTGGTTATATTTGGATATGAGAGATCAGAGTTTGTGGGATATGTAGAGAAAAACAACTTAGCCCTGAAACACCTGTATTTGAAGAATTGGGAACCAGGTTTCGAGACCATGCCTTATCCCCCAGCCACGGGGAAGTATGCCCTCTACGACATTCCAACACTTGTCGACTATATCAACAATGCAGTGAAAAAGGTATAAAACAAAATCTGTCTGCCAGCATAAAATAATATTGTTTTAAAAACTATTCATCAGTAAGTGTCTGGTCAGATTGAAAAAGTTAAATAAATGCTGTCAGTCCTGTTTGAATTACATGAAATATTTTTATAGTCGCTTAAAAAGTTAGTTCGAACAATGCATGTCAACATCGGCAAAAATCACAGCTAACAGTCAAGTCCTCGATACGGAACAACAAAGTCCCATTACGATATATTTGCAAATCTGGCAATGAATAATGGTACGTGTGTATTTCTTATATTTACTTACATAGTAATAATCGATTATCAAATGCCATTTGCACCTAATCGCGAAGCAGAGGTAAGTAATGTCCCCCTCCCCAAACCCTTGGTGCAAAGGGGTAGGTACCGATAAGAAAAATATAGGTAAATCTTTAAAATTCTTTACCTTAAATTCAAATGGAGGGATTTAAACCAAATCTGGTCTAGATCATTCTTTTGTAAAGGAGAATCCATATGGTCTCAATGAAGTTCCATTAATTTAACTATACAATTGTAAAATTTATTCATTCAGGTTTATTTTACATAATTTACAACAAATAAAGCTTTTAAATTTTCTAAATTTGTCATGATAGGTTGAATATACGTAGGAAAGTAGATGGTTCACTTTTTTAAACCTGTGTGTTTCAGTTCTACAAAACAGAAGAACAAGCCTTAGGGTCAGTGAAATTTGTTCACAATAGCGACGGCACTATCAAACCGATGTCTTTCTGCAGTATCCACTATCTCAAGGGGGAAATTTTTGAGAACAATAATACCTATTCCTTGGATTCACAAACAGTTACAAGTAAGGCATGGACTTATTATCAGATAAATACATTATTTCATCAGTAAATAGCTCACCTGGTCCAAAGGACCAAAAATGACATAGAAACAGTTTAGGTCCCTGCCCAAAAAAGCAGAAAAATACATGAAGAGAGGAACACCCTTATGCTTAAAATAAAAAATTCTATGTAATCTGTTAAGCCCCCTGGGCCATTCTATGTAATCTGTTAAGGCCCCTGGGCCTCTTATGTCATCTTTTAAAAGAAGTAGAAACTGGTACAATGGACTTTGTTACACCTCAAGTGAATTTCTAGCTATTTGATTGGTTGGGATAAAATTAAACAAAAATCTCTGTCACCCTCCGAAAATACATTGGTTTTAAGGGGCACGGGTGATATTGCCATGAATCAGTGAAAAATATCACATGCACGAAAAAAGTGCGTTCCGGGTTCTTCACAGTGGCCATTTTTCACCGCTTCGTTTCCCCACCGTGATGGTCACATGAACGTTTGACGGCAACAGCCAATTTTATCAAGCGCCGGTGCGATAGCGATTGTTAACAGCAGACTATCAACAAAGAAGATGTCATTATCGAGGTTTGCTGCCGTTTCTGAGCTACATATGGATGTGTAGAAGTGGTTTTTTTAAGATAAATATTTATTTAAAGACTTTTGGTGTAACAAAATTGATATGACATTCATTAGCAGGTGACAGTTAATATTGTCAACCCGAGAAACCCATTGTCACCCCCGGCTTTCCCTCGGATGACACTGGTTTTCTCGGTTTGACAATATTCACTGTCACCTGCTAATGAATGTCATATTTATAATGTCTACTCCAAACCCCATCACCTTATTTAGAACCTAAAATCTTGGTCAAAAGTATTGTAAATCACACATTCTCTTTCAATTTCGAAAAGCAGTGACTGGGACCTACTGTTTGTTCATATTTCTAATGTAACAACAGTATTTATATAATAACTTCATATAATTATGAATATTGAATGGGTTACTCAAAGACTTTTCAATTTCAAAAGAATATTCAAAGGATTACACTGTGTATATTCAATGGTAACTTAATCAATATCAAATAAATTACCAAGTAAATATTAAATGGTTAACTGTTTCTCAATATAATCTTTCAATGAACAATTGATTAATCAATATCAAAATGGGTTGATGAATATTAAAATGGATAAATCAGTATCAAAAGTATTTATCAGCTGTATTCAGTGGATTGTTCAATTAACATGTAATAGAATTTTATCAGCCATATCCCTCTTTTACTTATTCCAAGTAAACTACGAACACATTGATGGATTATTTTGTTAAATATACATTTTTTTTCAGGTTGTACAGATCTCATTCTAAATGGCAACGATTTTGATATACTAGACTATCTGAAAAATAGAAATGTGTCTCTGAAATTTGACAGGTAAGTAATTAAAAGATAACATGTTTTTTTTCTATGTTAACAAATCTTAACAAAATATTCTGATTTTGGTTAACAATACCCCACCAAATTCAGATGGCATTCATATCACTTATGAATGTACTAGCTAGATTGCCGACATACTCTTAACAATGATGTCATCATGTTAGTGTTGATACTGGGCCACTGCCCCTTGTCGATGGCTGCTGATAATTACTAACAAGCATACAGAATTCAAACATTTAACTTGATTTCATGTTGAATTTAATCATTTCATATGGACTCTATGAATACCAACTGATAGCCATTTAATGTTTAAACAGTGAATTCTTATCATTTTGTCAATAAAAAATTTTCAGCAATATTTAAATTTCAGTACATTTATTCCTCTAATCTCTTCATGAATAATTTCATCCTTCTTTCCCCATATCCCTCTCTTGCCAGAAAATTAGCATATTTCTGAAATATTTTTAATGTCAGATTCTTCTTTTATGTGGCACTGTAAAAATGTTGAGGTAAACCCATTCCAGTCGGATTAAATGATTATGATAATTATCATAAGGTACCTGATTTATTTGACAGGATTTTGAAAATTGAGCTGAGGTTTCACCTGAAGTCATACCATTTGGATATTGATAATGGCCTAACAGCTCCGGAATGCTTTCATGTAAAGGGAAAGGTAAGGATAACCAGGAGTTATGGTCCCTTGTCAGCTGGCCATGGGTGGTCTAAGAAAGATAAGAATATTTTATTAAAGTGTCACCTCCTGGTCAGCCGTAAATCATATTTAAGTCATATGTAAACAGCCAAGATGAGCACAAATAATCTGGTGAATTATGGTTCCCAAAAATGGTGGCGAATGATGATAACATTATGTAGTTTATGTGACGATGGCCCGATACCTGTTACAGGTGGTGTATGATGATAACATTATGTAGTTTATGTGACTATGGCCAGATACCTGTTACAGGTGGTATATGATGATAACATTATGTAGTTTATGTGATGATGGCCCGATACCTGTTACAGGTGGTGTATGATGATACCATTATGTAGTTTATGTGACGATGGCCCGATACCTGTTACAGGAAACATTATGTAGTTTATGTGATGACGGCCCGATACCTGTTACAGGGGGTGTATGATGATAACATTATGTAGTTTATGTGATGATGGCCCGATACCTGTTACAGGTGGGGTATGATGATAACATTATGTAGTTTATGTGTCGATGGCACGATACCTGTTACAGGTGGTATATGATGATAACATTATGTAGTTTATGTGATGATGGCCCGATACCTGTTACAGGTGGTGTATGATGATACCATTATGTAGTTTATGTGACGATGGCCCGATACCTGTTAGAGGTGGTGTATGATGATAACATTATGTAGTTTATGTGACTATGGCCAGATACCTGTTACAGGTGGTATATGATGATAACATTATGTAGTTTATGTTACGACGGCCCGATACCTGTTAAAGGTAACATTATGTACTTTATGTGATGACGGCCCGATACCTGTTACAGGTGGGGTATGATGATAACATTATGTAGTTTATGTGACGATGGCCCGATACCTGTTACAGGAAACATTATGTAGTTTATGTGATGACGGCCCGATACCTGTTACAGGTGGCGTATGATGATAACATTATGTAGTTTATGTGACGATGGCCCGATACCTGTTACAGGAAACATTATGTAGTTTATGTGATGACGGCCCGATTCCTGTTACAGGTGGTGTATGATGATAACATTATGCAGTTTATGTTACGATGGCCCGATACCTGTTACAGGTGGTATATGATGATAACATTGTGTAGTTTATGTGACGATGGCCCGATACCTGTTACAGGAAACATTATGTAGTTTATGTGATGACGGCCCGATTCCTGTTACAGGTGGTGTATGATGATAACATTATGTAGTTTATGTGTCGATGGCCCGATACCTGTTACAGGTGGTGTATGATGATTACATTATGGAGTTTATGTAACGATGGCCCGATACCTGTTATAGGTGGTGTATGATGATAACATTGTATAGTTTATGTGATGATGGCCCGATGCCTGTTACAGGTGGGGTATGATGATAACATTATGTAGTTTATGTGATGATGGCCCGATACCTGTTACAGGTGGTGTATGACGACAGTTCAAGGAACGGCCAGATGTTGATAGACCTCATTACTACTCTACATGAATTTGACTGCACCGGAGAGTATTCATTCCAAGGTACATTGTAAACCACTACCAGTCTATTTATCTGGGCTCCGATAGAAATACAGAAAATCTACTTTCCAGATCCTTTTTAGCTTGTGAAATATTTTCTGAATTTTCATTGAAATACCTGGTTCTGTAATTCAGTTAATATTTTGTAAGTTAAAAATGTCCCGATTTCTTTAATGATATTTAAATGCATCATGATTATATTGTAAATATTTTTTCAGATATTTAAACAAAGAATTTATATCTGTTGTTAACTTCACAAATTCACATCATCATCAATAATTAAACTGATGCAAAGTTAGTTAATATTCATATTGCAACTCTACACAAAGGTATGTTTTGAAATGCCTCATTCGAGGCTTTGTCTAGCTTTAGAAAGTTAATATTCAAGGGGGTTGGGTTGCACTGAAACTTGATATTACCATTTCCTTTCTCATGAAATTTGGTTTTATCAGTCACTCTTTGTATGATATACTTGCAGAGGCTGAGTCTCAGGAACGGATAAAAAACACAATTTTTGACATCTTTGTGATACTGGTCAGTGTGCTGTCCAGTATACTGTGTATACGGTCAGTCGTGAGAGGTCTCCAGCTACAGAAGGTGAGATATTTACAGGCCTGTGTGTAGCCCATCCTTCACAGTATGCTACTTTTTAGAGTGTTTATATGTGTGTGTTCCATTATATGTCCATTACCTGGGTATTCATGTTGTCAAATTAAAAACAAAAAAATCTTCTTTAGTAAGTTTCTAAATTGAACCAAAATGGAAAGAAAATTGAAAGGGTATCAAAAGAAAATTTCATTTTCCAAAAAAAATAATCTGCAGTTTACTCAAAAAGTTGATCAATCTACACATTATCAGAAACCAGTTTTTAATTATGTTATACTTATACCACATATATAAATATATAACAAATAGAAATGACTTTTTGTACAAATGGATGATTCTGGTAGTAATATCTCAGCTTTATTGAGATGGTTGTCGAATGTCCAAAACCTGACTTCATATACATACACTGTAAACAATGTTTGTTTTACACTTCAACCTAATATGAGTTTGAAGTGAAGTTGTAATAATTCAAATGAGCAAATATTGTGGGTATAGCTTTTCCATTTTGGCTAAATGTCAATATTTTGATTGCCCAATGTTTCAGTGTAATAGTAATCTATCGTTACCTGTAAATAGCTATATACAAAATTTTGCTGAGTTACAAAAATAATATTTTCATTCCAAATATTTTCACAGGAAACAGTAACCTTTTTCAAGAAACGCTACAGAAAAGACCTGCCCACTGCCGACAAGCTGGAATTTGTTAACTTCTGGTACTTAATGATTGTCCTCAATGACATTTTATCAGTTGTGGGATCTTCACTGAAAATTACCATTGAAAACAGGGTGAGTAACTCTTACTTTACCATTTTTAATGTGGCACACCACTAACATTGTATTCACATGAAGATATTTTGTAAGATATTGATTTCTCCATATATATACAAGTATATTTTGTTACTATAAATCTTTTTGATTCCAACTCTGATTGAGCTAGATGAAGAACAGGTTTGGACGTGTCATGTACATTGAAACTTGTCTAATCTGTCCCTTAGTATTCTGACATCCTCTATATTCGTACATAATGCTGTAATCCAACCCTCGATTATTATTTTTCTTTGCGTTTGACCAATCTGACCAGACTCTGTGTGACATTGTCTTGTACAGGCAACAAGTGGCTTGTTGTTAAGGAGACTTATTCCCATGCTTTTTCTGAACAATAACTATTAATTTGCTGAACATTGTTTTATGACATATCACATCCAATTGCATGTGTTACAAATGAACATGAATTCAACCACCCACAGGTCTATGCACCAAAGGTCAAGGTCAGGGTAAGGGTTTAAAGGTCAAATAATTCCAAAGCTTTTCTAGGCAATGGCTATGAATGTCTGAACATCTCTTTATGGAACTTCATAGATAAATGCATCATGACATGTGTGTGTTTCCAAACCAACAAGGTCAAGGCCACAGTATGATCAAATGTCTAGCCCCGCTTATGCTTATTCGAGCAACTACTTCCGAATAGCTGAATATGTTTTTAACTTCAATGATTAAGGCATCATTACAAGACAATCTGTAGTGGTAGGGGATATGTATCATATCACAACTTGGAAATGTGTTGTGGTAGGGGATGTGCATCATGACTAATCAGTGTACTTTGGAAGGGGACATGTTATGATCATGACAAGACAATGTGAAGAGGTAAATGTAGAAGAATGTAATATTATCACAACTTGACAATGTGTTGAATCCTGGCCAGACAATGTGTCACAGTATGGTCCACATGTATTACACATGCTTTGCAATACTTGATTATGCTTGTTGAAAACAAAACTGATCTTTTTCAGTTTTTTTCTGCAGTAAATCTCTATCACATTATTTTAATATTGCACCTTGTTTTTAATACTGATATTTTGAGTATGCTACGAAGTGATCTTGTCTGTCTGTTTGACTGTCTGTCTATCCACCTATCAACAGTTTTGTTTCTTGTTTAAAACTTCACTATATGTAACTTAGGTGTCACCAGACTTAATGATGTTACCATATTTATCCTGCAAAAAGCCAGGGGGGGGGAGGGGGGGGGACACATAATGTCGGACTCCAAGTATAGGTGGGCTATAACAGGACAATTAAATAGCATTTGTTGGTAATTCTTCTGAATTGAAATATGTATAGGTGTGCTTATAAACAGGCATGGGCTTATTGCTGGATAAATACGGTAGTTATCACTAGAAATTCCTATGTTTTAGGTGTATTCTATACCACAGGTCATCATGTTCTTAAGTTCTGATTGGCTAAAGTTACACTCAATAACTGAATTATTTCTAAATTTGTTTCATCAAACTTCTTGGAAGTTGATTGGTACTTTATAAGAGGTCAATACCCATACTTTTTGGGTCATTTCATTGAAAGGTAAAGTCATTGAAGGTCACTTCCTACACATAGCTTTAGAATTAGGACAAATGTGTAAACCAAAAACAAAATGGGAATTTTATGAACATGTTACTCAACAAGTACCAATAAATCAGAATTTATAACAGTTTTAACAGTTGAGTATTGGTTTTAAATGTAATGTTTAAGTACTCTTGCCATCCAGTTTCATTGCATTTAAAACCAATACTCAAAATAGTTGTTTTTTCAATGAGCATGTTAAAATCATCATGATGCAAAAACATATTTTTTATTCTATTTGCAATTGACTGTAAGCAACTTCTTTTCTGAAACAAAATAAAGGAATATCAACCATATTTGGCTGGAAGCATTCTGAGATGGTGGGGATTCAAAAATTGTACAAATGGAGGGGCTGAGGGGTCTGGCCAAAAAGGGGTAATTTGGTCATATTGATTTAAGCAACTTTCATTCTGAAACTAAAGAGAAGGATAGCAACCATATTTGCAATTGGTTGAAAGTAATTTCAGGTGGTTGGGATACAAAATTGTACAAATATAAAGGCTGAGCGACAGGCCCTCTGGGCCTCTTGTTTTATAATTCATGTAAGAAAAAATAAATCTCGAGTGTTATCACATGAGAAGCAGATCATCATAACACAGCTATTATCCATATTGGTTGATCTCCATTTTAGACAAAAAAGACTGCCTCCTGTCAGGTTTGAATGACTTAAGACATTTTGTAGTATTTCTTTTGATCCATTGGTTATTTGTATTTCTTCCCAATACCCTATGTGATAGCATGTTCCCACATCAATATGCAGTGCTTGATGCCCTAATGGTAGTCTATATAAGTGTACATGTATATCGGGAATGGTCTTAACTATTGCTTTGCTAATACTATTTCCTGGTAGAAAAATCCATCATTAATTCCATAAACAGCATACAGTATATATACATAGTACCTTATGTTGGATTAGGAATACGTTGTAAAAAAATGCCATAAAATGAAAAACCTTAAGACCTAAGAAGAACCCAATTTTTTATAAACAACCCTACCCTTTTTTTCTGATCTTGGCATCTCATCATTTTCTATAATTTATACAAGTTAAACTTAATTGATAAAAGTATCTGTTATAGCTCATCTTCAAAAAAAAATCAAAGGTTCAACAATTACTATTGATCTAATTTTGCCAAATTGATTAGTGCTCAGTACAATTATTAGGGCGAATACATTATCAAAACATAATTTGGATGATCAAAGTTTTATTTTCATTTTATGCTGCTTCTCAATATGGTTAGCATAGCAACAGGTAGTTGATGCTGCTTCTCACTATGGTTGACATAGTAACAGTTGGTTGCTTCTCTTTTTTGTTGGCATAGCAACATGTGGATGCATCACTGCATATCGTCATAAGCATAGAGGTGGTTCATTTGAGGTACAAATGAAAATATATGTTTTGTATTTTGTTCAGATGTTATACGGGAGAGTCAGATCTTTATTACTGTACATTATAACGTAGGAGCAGTAAGTCCATTGTATATATAACCGTGGCAGCTTAATAACCATGTTTGTTGGGATCAAAATCTGGATCCACAGTAGTGTTTCCCTTTTCTTAATTTTGTTTTGTATTTTTATAAAGGATTTTGAAATTTCTGCTATGGTAATTTTCTTCACTTGATTTCACCTTCACCACTTCCAAAGATAAACTGTGGCACTCTTCCAATTCCTGTCCTGTCTGTAGAACAGAAATATTTGTGATATTGTAGAAAAGAAAAAACATAATTTTCAATGAAACAGCTGAATTTTGTTCAGTATAGACAAATTTAACGGGTGATTGAAATTTTTATTTAAATTCACGTAAAACTACAGACATTAAAAGGATTTATCAGCTACTACTTTCTGTTGTATTTATGAAGTAGCCCTATAAGAATACTTTGTTTTATGAAAAGTATTCTAAATCATATATTTTCTCAGGGAGTTTGGATCAAACAAAAGCTGAGAGCTATGGTTATTATGGTTGGTCCAAACAGGGAAACGTTTTATACTTCTGTTCAAACAAGCAGGAAAAAGAGAGGTTTATTACCTGATTTTGTCAACATTATAGCACGGCCTGAAACTTACAACAAGTCCAGGGTGCTGAAATTCCAGTATTGCTGATATCCAACTTTCTGAGATCTTTAAGGAAAATCTCAAAGTTTGATCCCTACTTTCTGGAAAACATTTTTGGCTTCCCAGCATAATAAACAAAATAATTTGCAAATGTTCGCAAGCTGATTCATACCAACACATGTTCTGCTTTAATTTGCCACTTTAAAAATGACATCTTCCAAACACTTGTATTTGTGTCCAGAGGTGACCTCAATGACCCAGACGTCTTCATCCGGAGCTATTTCAATATATCAGTTCTCTCTACCCAGCCAGTAGTCTTTTAACTATTATCTGGTAAGAAAGAAATATATATAATCATGGACACAACATCAGGTAATAATTTAACATAGATTTTGTTGTAAACTACACTGTGATATATGTAACACCAGCTGCCGACCCTAACACCTTTATCACAGCCCTGAAAAGTCATGTATGGATTGACACAGACTTGTAAACACACACAACATAACTTAGTTGCACTCCCTCATTATAACCGTCCACTCTTACATGCACAGTTATATCATGTCCTATACTCCAACACACCGGGTGCACCTGATTGGATCCAGACTATTATATATCTCACTTAATGCTTGTAATTAATTAACAGGACGTTCAACTCAGATTGGGACACAATGCTCTATATGATAAATAATCCCGGAAGTTGTCTGAGTTTAAGATAAAAAGTTTTAATGTTTCTGTACAGTTATATAACCCATTACACTGTTCTTTAACTACTTATCATTTCTTTGGTTTAAATCTTTTGACATTTTCTTTGACATATCTGAGTATTTTTCCTTGAGTGTTATTGTATTACATTATAAAGGAGGATTTGTATTGTGATTGAACTGTTATACAGTCATGTATATTTGTGAAGAAATTTTAACCTCGGACAGGTAAATCATACACATATAGCCTGCCTCAAAATCTTCCATAACTAATAGAATGTCCCTTAATTTCTAACTTTTGACATATAAAGCGGTAAAGATACATATACGTCTAAGTAAATCAAAAATCATGCTTGGACATGTCACTGGCAAATACAGTAAAAATTTACATCATTAATGTTATCTTTTAATGAAAAATAAATGTCAATATCTATTTTTCCCTTATAATTCATTATTTATGTATGTTTCAGCATGCGTCAAGCTCGTCGGATAACTACGACCTATGTGGACTGATGTTAGGTACGGGAAACCTCCTGGTCTGGCTCGGAGTCTTACGATATATCGGCTTCTTTAAAACTTTTAATGTAAGTCCTGTTTCTTCTGGAATGACCTCTTAAATAAACCAGGGAGTTAATGTTAATTCATATCATATATTTTAGGGACAACAGTGTTTAAACATAAAGCATATGCATGTGTACATTATTTTGTCATTGAAAGATTTCCTACTTACTTAAATATCAGAACTTATCAATCCATCATTTTTTACATTCTACATTGTATGTTCTGTAAAGTACTTATCATTTGTAAAATATTTATCAGTTATAGACTTTTTCGGGTGAATATGTAGTTATGTGGATCTGAGAAAAAAATATTGATTGAAATTTTTTACAAATTGGACATAAGAAAATTGTAAAGAGAAAGTATTGCATTTGCCAGAGAGTTCGGTGACACTACAACTGTAGCGACATCTAAAGGAAATACATTTGTATAACTGTCTGTTTTGAGTAAGTAATATCTAGTCAATATACTGAAATATCAGCTCACACCTGACCATGTCTTCACCAACGAGAGTTAGGGAAATATGGACCACACCTTACAGCACATGTATCTATATTTTCAGAAAATCAATCACAATTTCAAACATGTAAGAGAAATTTATTTAAAAAAGGTGGTATACAGATTTCATTGTCTCTGGCAAATTAAAATCTTTGTGATAAAGCCATTCAAAATATGATCACTTTAATAATATCTCACGAAAATGATGTCATTTCAAGTAGCAGTATCTCCTCGTCCTCTTGTTATAGCGTTTATGAAGTGGATAGTCTCAGTATATAGTGCTCTATTAATTCGTGGAACATTTGTATATAGAACAGTCATCCTGCCATTTTAACATTACCAACAGAAAGATTACATGCATTGCTGCTTTTAGATAAATTACATTTTCTAATTATAGATTCTGGTGATCGTACTGAAGAAGGCCTTCCCTGATATCATTAGATTCCTTGTGTGTGCCCTCATCATCTACTTTGGCTTTATGTTTGCTGGATGGGTTGTACTTGGGCCATACCACATAAAGGTAAGGGGATAGTTGTTTGTGATTTTTTAGTAAAGGATATATATATATATATATCTATATATATGCATCAAACCTACTGATTTGAAATGGCTGGATATTAACAGCTGGAAAACTAGGATAATCTTCTACACCAAATAATAATTGTTTTCCAACTATGTATGGCAACTTAACTGGTCATAGTTGAAATGTGGCTTTGATTTCATCAGAAATGTATATAGGTTTCTGATGTCATGTTATATTGGGGGGGGGGGGGGGGGGGGGGGGGGATATGCAGAATATTATTTTACCATTTTGAGGTTGGTCAGTCCATACTGTAATTTCATTTGCAATGTTTTTATCAAGTTTATAGTAATATTTCCTCCTATTTTTGTCTTTACAGTTCCGTCATATAAGTACAGCATCCGAGTGTTTGTTTTCTCTCCTCAATGGCGACGACATGTTTGTGACGTTTTCGGCAACAGTGACAGACAACAATCTTGTCTGGTACTACAGTAGGATATACCTGTACCTGTTCATCTTACTGTTCATCTGCGCTGTACTGAACCTCTTCACAGGTGTTATACTGGACACCTACGAAATAATCAAGGTCAGTACACAGGTGTTATACTCGACACCTACAAAATAATTAAGGTCAGTACACAGATGTTATACTGGACACCTACGAAATAATCAAGGTAAGTGCACAGGTGTTATACTGGACACCTACGAAATAATCAAGGACAGTACACAGGTGTAATACTGGACACCTACGAAATAATCAAGGTAAATACACAGGTGTTATACTGGACACCTGCGAAATAATCAAGGTAAGTACACAGGTGTTATACTGGACACCTACGAGATAATCAAGGTCAGTACACAGGTGTTATACTGGACACCTGCGAAATAATCAAGGTCAGTACACAGGTGTTATACTGGACACCTGCGAAATAATCAAGGTAAGTACACAGGTGTTATACTGGACACCTACGAAGTAATCAAGGTAAGTACACAGGTGTTATACTCGACACCTACAAAATAATCAAGGTCAGTACACAGATGTTATACTGGACACCTACGAAATAATCAAGGTCAGTACACAGGTGTTATACTCGACACCTACGAAATAATCAAGGTAAATACACAGGTGTTATACTGGACACCTACGAAATAATCAAGGTAAGTACACAGGTGTTATACTCGACACCTACAAAATAATCAAGATAATTAGTACACAGGTGTTAAACAGGACAAAAGGTAAATTGATTTTAGAAAAAAAATCATTTCAATTGTACTTTGTATGTCTTTATTGTTTTTCATTATATAAACACTATACCCAATGTGTTTGTTTGTTCTTGTAGGACTACGCTAAAGATGACTCGTTCCCCAAAAGTGCCTTAGATCTGTTTATAGAGGAGTGTGATGACCCTCCCTCCTCACACGCCTACAGACGGGAGGATCGTAGCTGTAACCCATTGTCCTGTCTATGCTGTTGTAATAGGTACATCATCTGGTTTTTAATGAGCTCAATTCAATCAAGTTCACATTCTTTTTCAAACTAAAAAAAGTAAGATTCTGATAATTTTCAACAGTTTAGAGATATTTACATGACATGTTTATTAAGGTATTTTATCAGTGATCATGATTCCTCAATTAAATATTCAGACAGTCACTCAAATGTTTGAATATTTCAAAAATTCAAATATTCCTCAGAAATTTACTATTCAATCATTTTTTCAAAATATTTAAATGAAATTTAACTGACATAAGGAAGACTGTAAAATATAAATATGTACATTTCTTTACTGCCTTTCTGTTGTAGGAGTGACCCAGACAGACCAAACGAACACACTGGCCTCCTGAACTAAGTATATCATTATAGATGTGATCCACACATGACTAATTATAAACAAAGATGGACTGTAGACAGACTTGAAGAGTGCATCATTAGTTCCAAAAGAAGGACCTTATTTATCAGTTATTCACGGATACCTCGGTCATCAGAAAGTTGTTCTCCACTGACTCTAGAAATACTTCACATTTGTTCAGTGTGAACCTGTTTATCTGTGTTGCTGTTGAGTATTTATATGTATTTTAGAGAGTGAAGTGTACAGAAATGAAGAAGTCCTCAGATGGTTGAAACTGAACACTGCATAGTTCTGTACAGTGACTGAAATTAGCACCGTTGTCAATCATACAGAAAAAAACTCAGTTTTTACATTTTACCTAATTGAGTGTTAAATATTGGTACATACCAGTTTTGTTGTCCAATAGACCAATTTTTGGATATGTACATAATTGTAAGTGCTAAAATGATTTATATCGCATTATATTGAAATCTGTTAAGTGCTAATTACAATACAAAAGTAACTGAAATTGATTAATTTCATATATGAAAAAACTAATTTAGTCCTATCACTGTTTTATTAACAAAAGTTTTGGAAATCTTACATGATAGATTATATATGCTGAATTACATCACGAAAAGATATCAGTTTGAGAATCATACACAGAAAAAAATTGAACATTTTTGTGTGTAGCTATCAAACTATAGTCTGCCGTGGTGGATCAAGGCAAAAGTGGAAGTCATACCCCTCCTTACCAGCCTGAAAAATGTCCTTTGTTCCATCAAATGTTACAGTTTTGGGTATTATTGGAGGTGATCATCCAATATCAGACTTGGGGGAGATAAAATGAACGTCTGCAAGTTTTAGATCCCTTCCTGTAAGAAGTCCTGGATTGTCACCTACCTGCTTATAGATGTATCATAATCCATTCTTAAATTCTTTGGTTTTCAAAGTAAATATTGTTTAAAAAGTTGTTTATTTATATATATCATAAAAGTTGTATGGTCCATGCATTAACAAGAAATGGCTAATATACAGTGTAAATGTAGTAAATGTCTCAGTGGTATTATAAGTTCTGTCTGTCCTCATACAGTTATTGTACATATAGAAATGGCTAATATACAGTGTAAAGGTAGTAAATGTCTCAGTGGTATTATAAGTTCTCTCTTTCCTCCTACAGTTATTGTACATATCTTTCATCAAACAGACGCATAAATCAAAACAAACAGTGATATATGTTGTCGTAAAATACTAATAATTACGGTGTATATGATCTGTGACAAAGATCTAGAGTCAGTAAATAGATGAATGTGACAATTACGGTGCTAACAAGAAATACTTATGGAGGTCCATTTCTTTTAATTTCTTTTAAGTATTTACAATATCTGGGAAACAAACAGTGTTATCCCTTAAAATCTGTGAGTTTTGATGCATAAAATATTTTCTGTTTCAAGCTGCACTCAAAACATTTCTTTTTGTATTTTTTTTACATTGTTATAATTGAATTTTGGTGTATATTACATTTAAACTGAGCTAACTGAAAAATGAATGGTTTTATATTGTTCAAGCTGCCTTCCATCAACACATGTCATAAAACATGTTGTTTTAATCATTGTTTTTAGTTGTATAAGTTGTATTGTGTTGTGAATCGCGTACAAAGGTACCAGGTACTCGGTACAATAAAACCTATTGATAAGTCTTAAGGATCCCTGTACCAATGCTAAAAACTCTTAACTACAAATTAGAAACTTTTTTACATGCATGACAATTGCTACAATAAATCATTTCTGAAAAGAAACCGAAACATTTCAAAGTGTTCATAAAAAAAATAGGATAAAACCCTGACTGGGAGTTGAACCCTGTGCCTCCGATCACAATAAAGTTGCTGTAACGATCAGAGCTAGCTTATCAACTGTAGTTCCCTGGCCAATATTTCCAAAATAAAATGAAAAAGGAGTTACTGTATGTATGGAACATTACTGTGGAATTCTATTGTGTTGGCCTGCAGTGGGGCAGGGATCCTTAAAAGCTGATGTAGTTATAACTAACATGTTAAGAAGTCATCAGGTTGTTGGGATGTCTCTGTGTTTGACACATGACTACCATGTTATATGTTGTGATGTCTCTGTGTTTGACACATGACTACCATGTTATATGTTGGGATGTCTCTGTGTTTGACATATGACTACCATGTTATATGTTGCGATGTCTCTGTGTTTGACATATGACTACCATGTTATATGTTGGGATGTCTCTGTGTTTGACACATGACTACCATGTTATACAGTGAATACACTCCTGTGATATGTTTGTATGTATTACCTCATGTAATAAAACACTATGTGACATCATAACTAAGACATTATGACATTTCCTTAAATACAATAGACGTGAAGTCAAAATGACAGAAAAAGTCTATGGTCAGTTTGCAGAGATTGCTTGTTTAATATTTGATTACTTGCGTGATAATGTCATAAAAAAGCTCTCGAAATAATTCCTATGGCACATGAGATTTATGAAAGTAGTTTTCATTTTATTTAGGTTCTGTGGAGCTAAAACATAAGTATGAGTTTTGCAAATCTCACATGAAATGAAAACTGCTCTAAAATTCTACATATTTGTATGTGTAAATTGCAGAGGAGGATGCCATAGCTGAATGCTTTAGCGAGTCCTCACATATAAGAAGGATGCCCAGTTTAAATTCCTAATGCAGAGGAAATCATAGATAAGAGATACATAAGGTGCCTAGTTCAATGCTTTAGTTGGCCCTTACACTTATATTAAATATTTTGTTGGAAATTAGTTCAGGATCGTGTGATCATGAAATTATTTACGGACATTGATGCCTTGTGCCCTTAATATATTGTATGTAACAGGGATGTACCAGAAAATATATTGTATGTAACAGGGATGTACAAGAAATGTACCAGAAAATATATTGTATGTAACAGGGATGTACCAGAAAGATAGGATGTACAAATGAAAACAATGTAATGATAAATTATACAAACTTGGAAACTGTTTTGAAATATTTACATAATTGTTAAAACAATCTCGGTATAACACTCATTGTAACAGTTGGATAACAGAGCCAAGTTCAATAGGACCAATGTATTTTACCTAAAGAGCAGGGTGAAACAAAACTGAAAACCTAGTTACTCATAGTCGCTATTTTATCCCAATACAGGGCACAAGGTCTCCGAGTTAGGTGAGATATGGTGTAAACAGACCATGTCAGGGTTCATTAAAGTATAATTTGTCGCTCCATTGCAGTACTCGTCAGCAAAAGAATTTGTGTTTTTGTTATATGTACACCAGAAAAAAGTTATGATTTAATATATTTATATACATTGAGTTGTAGTGTGTTGTGCTCTTGTGAATGAATTATAACATGCTTCCATATTTGCAATGTACTATTGTCTTGTTACGCTTCACAATGAAAAATAAATGACTTGCTGAAAACTATATTCAAATGTAGTACACAATTCTATCTACTGAATGTTGTAATGTTGTAAATAAGTAGCATGTTGATGGTGTAGCACATTTGTATCCTTATATATTTACAATGTAACATTTGTATCCTTATATATTTACAATGTAACATTTGAAAGCAATATTCTTCAATGTATTGCATTGGAGTACAATGTTTTACAATAAAGGACATTTGAATATGATATTTTACAATGAAGTACATTGTACATTGTATGTATCATTAGTTCATTTGTTTAACAATACATATTATAGTTCAATGTTTGATATCTAAACTACATGTAGTTACAAACATGAATTTAATGAAAAGCATTTAAGTGACAGATCTTATAAGTGATTGGTATAATTTGAATGAAAATGTCATTAACTGTTTAGGTTGCAGCATATGTCCAATCAGTTATAACAGTATATGAGTAGCCACTCACTGATTGTTCCCTCCTGGACTGGACATTCTTCATGGTGAGACAAAGTTATTTTGAAATATCACTTGAATATCCATATAAATGTTCAAGTATGTTTTGTTTGTATTGAGGTTGGGGGGAGGGAAGGGGCTGGTTAGGAAGAAGATGTGACACTTTCCAAAACAATGTCATTTTTTGGTTTAAAAAACAATGTTCATGTAGTTTTCAATTCCTACGTCTAGACAACCACATATTCCCATAAACAGAAAGTCTCACACCTGAATCATGGTAGTGAGGAGTTTAGACGAGTGTTCATTGTAGGCTGTGTATTCCAACAGAACAAACTCTGTAGACTTATTTCTGCAACATTCCATGTATCTATGTGACTACATTTTGAAAAGCTAGTGATCAGCCATTGCTATCCACAAAGCTTATTTTACATATCTAGATGCATAAAATTCATAGAAGGCATTTCAGTGATATCTTTCATAGACACATGGGGCATTACAACTGGAATTGTCTGCAGAGAACATAGAACCAATTCACAAACAGGAAATAACTGTTGTTGACAGGTGGCTTCCTTTACCTACACTCAAAGCATATCCTAATCAACTTGATGATTTGACTGTCATCTCAGTGTACATGTGGTTTACTGGTCATTTTTCTGATAAAGATGACTGCACTAGGCATTGAAATGTCACATGTACACAGGTCACTGGCTGTGCTATATGACCCTGTATACAGTATATATTTACTAACCTGAAGAAAGTGCTGCTTCCAAGTTGACATTGTTGTTTACAGAGATGCATCAGTATCACCGGCATTCCTGATTGGCCATTCTGATATCTCAATCTATATAGACAAACATGTGTTTATATGTATGTACCACCTATCCTGTTCCTTGTTATCTATTCCCTGGAATATTGTGAATCATGTCAGTTGTTCAGCAATGCTGATGGGGTATTTGCAATGATCTTGTAAATGTAACTTGTATATTGTATATATACAGTCAAAAAGGGCTTAACTGTGATATTGTGGAGTCTAAGAGATAATTAATAAATACACAAAGATACATAGAAATTGAAGGAATTATTGAAAACCTTTTACCCATGTTTGACTGTATATAATGTATCAGTGTGTGTGTGATGCCAGGGTAACATGTTTGACTGTATATACTGTATCAGTGTGTGTGTGATGCCAAGATAATGACTGTATAAAATGTATCAGTATGTGTGTGATGCCAGGATAACATATGCTGCTTCTATGACATGCTCTTGCCAAATAATTTTTTAAATAAAAACGTCTACTGCACATTTCTTGTTAGTTTTCTTGAAGCAACATGAAGGCCTCTGTGGATTTATCTGGTACAATATGCTTGATCAGGCATTATATATATATGTACAGAAAACAGGGTAAACTATTGTGAGGCAGTTGTAGTTTTAAGCCAGTACTAATTACACTTTAGTATTTAAGGATCATGCATAGCAGAATATCAAAGCCATCTTTCTATTGACACTTATTATTTTGCTGCAGTGCATTGCTTAAACAAATTTCAATGGTTCAGGTCATATAGGTCGAATTGACCCTATAAAGGACTGGACAACTATTTCAGTGATTGGGGTCCGAGTTCAACATTGGTCATATTGACCAACAGTAGGTATGCAACACCCTGATATGTGCCGGCAAACCCAACTTGGTTATTCCACAGGTACTAGCCTCATCTGTAGGTGTATTGACAGACGAGACGTATAGTACCTGTGGTTATTCCAGAGGTACTAGCCTCGTCTGTAGGTGTATTGACAGACGAGACTTATAGTACCTGTGGTTATTCCACAGGTACTAGCCTCGTCTGTAGGTGTATTGACAGACGAGACGTATAGTACCTGTGGTTATTCCACAGGTACTAGCCTCGTCTGTAGGTGTATTGACAGACGAGACGTATAGTACCTGTGGTTATTCCACAGGTACTAGCCTCGTCTGTAGGTGTATTGACAGACGAGACGTATAGTACCTGTGGTTATTCCACAGGTACTAGCCTCGTCTGTAGGTGTATTGACAGACGAGACGTATAGTACCTGTGGTTATTCCACAGGTACTAGCCTCGTCTGTAGGTGTATTGACAGACGAGACGTATAGTACCTGTGGTTATTCCACAGGTACTAGCCTCGTCTGTAGGTGTATTGACAGACGAGACGTATAGTACCTGTGGTTATTCCACAGGTACTAGCCTCGTCTGTAGGTGTATTGACAGACGAGACGTATAGTACCTGTGGTTATTCCACAGGTACTAGCCTCGTCTGTAGGTGTATTGACAGACGAGACGTATAGTACCTGTGGTTATTCCACAGGTACTAGCCTCGTCTGTAGGTGTATTGACAGACGAGACGTATAGTACCTGTGGTTATTCCACAGGTACTAGCCTCGTCTGTAGGTGTATTGACAGACGAGACGTATAGTACCTGTGGTTATTCCACAGGTACTAGCCTCGTCTGTAGGTGTATTGACAGACGAGACGTATAGTACCTGTGGTTATTCCACAGGTACTAGCCTCGTCTGTAGGTGTATTGACAGACGAGACGTATAGTACCTGTGGTTATTCCACAGGTACTAGCCTCGTCTGTAGGTGTATTGACAGACGAGACGTATAGTACCTGTGGTTATTCCACAGGTACTAGCCTCGTCTGTAGGTGTATTGACAGACGAGACGTATAGTACCTGTGGTTATTCCACAGGTACTAGCCTCGTCTGTAGGTGTATTGACAGACGAGACGTATAGTACCTGTGGTTATTCCACAGGTACTAGCCTCGTCTGTAGGTGTATTGACAGACGAGACGTATAGTACCTGTGGTTATTCCACAGGTACTAGCCTCGTCTGTAGGTGTATTGACAGACGAGACGTATAGTACCTGTGGTTATTCCACAGGTACTAGCCTCGTCTGTAGGTGTATTGACAGACGAGACGTATAGTACCTGTGGTTATTCCACAGGTACTAGCCTCGTCTGTAGGTGTATTGACAGACGAGACGTATAGTACCTGTGGTTATTCCACAGGTACTAGCCTCGTCTGTAGGTGTATTGACAGACGAGACGTATAGTACCTGTGGTTATTCCACAGGTACTAGCCTCGTCTGTAGGTGTATTGACAGACGAGACGTATAGTACCTGTGGTTATTCCACAGGTACTAGCCTCGTCTGTAGGTGTATTGACAGACGAGACGTATAGTACCTGTGGTTATTCCACAGGTACTAGCCTCGTCTGTAGGTGTATTGACAGACGAGACGTATAGTACCTGTGGTTATTCCACAGGTACTAGCCTCGTCTGTAGGTGTATTGACAGACGAGACGTATAGTACCTGTGGTTATTCCACAGGTACTAGCCTCGTCTGTAGGTGTATTGACAGACGAGACGTATAGTACCTGTGGTTATTCCACAGGTACTAGCCTCGTCTGTAGGTGTATTGACAGACGAGACGTATAGTACCTGTGGTTATTCCACAGGTACTAGCCTCGTCTGTAGGTGTATTGACAGACGAGACGTATAGTACCTGTGGTTATTCCACAGGTACTAGCCTCGTCTGTAGGTGTATTGACAGACGAGACGTATAGTACCTGTGGTTATTCCACAGGTACTAGCCTCGTCTGTAGGTGTATTGACAGACGAGACGTATAGTACCTGTGGTTATTCCACAGGTACTAGCCTCGTCTGTAGGTGTATTGACAGACGAGACGTATAGTACCTGTGGTTATTCCACAGGTACTAGCCTCGTCTGTAGGTGTATTGACAGACGAGACGTATAGTACCTGTGGTTATTCCACAGGTACTAGCCTCGTCTGTAGGTGTATTGACAGACGAGACGTATAGTACCTGTGGTTATTCCACAGGTACTAGCCTCGTCTGTAGGTGTATTGACAGACGAGACGTATAGTACCTGTGGTTATTCCACAGGTACTAGCCTCGTCTGTAGGTGTATTGACAGACGAGACGTATAGTACCTGTGGTTATTCCACAGGTACTAGCCTCGTCTGTAGGTGTATTGACAGACGAGACGTATAGTACCTGTGGTTATTCCACAGGTACTAGCCTCGTCTGTAGGTGTATAGTACCTGTGGTTATTCGGTGTGTAATAGTGTAACTCTGGTATGCTCCTGATGAAACGTTTCTTTCCACATGAAATAGCATAGGAGATATGCCCCAGACGAAAACAAATCAAAAATTTGTGTCAGATGTCAAAATATATCGGTCACACGGTGATCAGCTTTTGTTCTGCCCCCGTGATAAAATGGGACAGGGTGAGGGGTGTTCGATATGGTGTTACCCATGTCCTTCCGGTTGCTCCACGATTCAATGTAAACACTCTTTGTCAGATTTTAATCAAACTATATACAATGTCACTTGCTGTTTATAGAAAATCATCCACTGATTCATTGTCCTCACTCTAGCTACTTCATTTCTTAGCATATTTTTATGAAAGTTTATACATATATCCAGTATACATGAAAATACCTTGGATGGGTTCATGTTTCAGGATTCCAAGGCCGACATTTATTATAAATCATCAACATATCAATGTCATCAGTATTTATTTCCTTATAGAATTTGAAAAGTCATAATTATTTACGGAAATTTATCAAAGACTGAAACTAATTTTACATGGCGGCAGGGGGCATTCATGTCTTACAGACATGTCCTAGTTACTTGTGGCATTTCAAATTGCCATCTTGCCAATTCACCTTAATTTTAGTGAATAGTGACAGAAATGTTGTAAATTGATAAATCATCTCATGAAGAATTCCTGTTATTTAAATTTTTTTGCTCTTTTCAAATTAAATGTCTGCCCTAGTCTGGGATTGGCTACTACCTCTAAATTTCTTTCTGACCAATAACTATTTTATGAATGTTCCTCTCGTCGTCTTTTCCTTACCGATCAACAAATTAAAGGACGACTTATTAGCTGATCACGAGGTATCTTAACTTTCAACCCCACCAAGCCAATCATAACAACATGTTTCATACTTGCCAAAACATAAATGAAATGTGTGTATACACCCCTAGAGACAAAATAGCCATTAAAAATGACATATTTTGAGTTGTTCTATCGGATGAAATCATTAGATCTTGGAATATCAGAACAGTTTAGCAAATTCACTGGTTGAAAACACTATATTTAAGGGTCCGAATACAGAGGTCTCCCTCCTAAATAGGGAGTCTTCCTCCTTCCTTCATAGGGAGTCTTCCACCTTCATAGGGAGTCTCCCTCCTACATAGGGAGTATCCCTCCCTCCCTCCTACATAGGGAGTCTCCCTCCCTCCTACACAGGGAGTCTCCCTCCCTCCTACATAGGGAGTCTCCCTCCTTCATAGGGAGTCTCCCTTCTTCCTACATAGGGAGTCTCCCTCCCTCCTACACAGGGAGTCTCCCTCCCTCCTACATAGGGAGTCTCCCTCCCTCCTACACAGGGAGTCTCCCTCCCTCCTACATAGGGAGTCTCCCTCCTTCATAGGGAGTCTCCCTTCTTCCTACATAGGGAGTCTCCCTCCCTCCTACACAGGGAGTCTCCCT